TGTAGGGGTAGGTCTTGGGGACCTTCTCCTTCCGGGCCACGTAGTTGTTGGCACGCTTTGACCATACTGCAACATATCTGTATCATAAAATAAAAGAACATGCAAAATGTAACAAGTTGCATTATATGCACACTCATTCTTGTCAATTGGAAATGATTCATATCTCTTAAAGATAAACTTGAGTTCTGGTAAAAAAAGAAAATGAATTCTCACAGAATCTAACGAAACTTACACTGAATGTTCAAGATTACAAATAAATGTCATGTGCCAAACAATTTTGGAAGAAAATGTATACTGGCTGAGTAATGAGCATAGAAAGATAAGGAAATCAGGGTAGTACTAGCCCCGACAGGCCGACACCATGTGTGTTGTCCCATATACATCTTTCTGTGTAAGTGATTGTTACTTTACCAAAACTCTGCCAAATTTATGATGATTTTGATGACTCCAGAACCTTGCATTACACACCAAGTATATTATTACACTGAATCCAAGTCCGCATTTAGGGTCCAAAATCAGCAGCATGATTGACAAACCATCAGCTTACAGTCCGTCATCTACATAATTTAGATGTGCGTCGTGTACAGGGACAACTTCTTTAGATGACGTCATATTTTGGCGATTTAAAAGGGGCGTTCCCAGGAAGGACAATTAGATATTTAATAATTTCCCCAAAATTGATAAATTTCATGGGAAAGAACTGCCAATTCGGATTGCCCTGTCCAACTACACAGGGAAAACAAAAAATCATGTTTTTTTTTTTTACTCCACCCACTTTGGATTGCCTTGTCCATCTAAAAAAAAATGTACAAATAAAAATAGGAAAAACAAGAAAGAAAAGAAAACCTTTTTTTCTTTCTTTCTAATTTCCACTCACTTTGTATTGCCTTGTTCATCAATCTGGTCGGGCCTGTCCTTGTGTGCCATGTAGTCGATGACCGCAAGCAAATTCCTTGCCCGGTTTGCTGGGTAGCTGGATGGATAAGACAAACAATTGGTATTACCACTACCATGATGAATGAATAGTAAATGCTTTAGACAAATCTCAGACTCATTGGCCCGTAGTCACAAAGGAGGTTTGTAGGAGGTTTGTACAAACCATGGTTTGACGATGGTTTACATCTATGGAATGCTGCTCGCATACCGTAAATTGTAAATTAACATTGTTAACAAGTATGGAGTTTACATTCCTTCTCCATCAGTTTACAAATGGCATTCCATAGATGTAAACCTTGGCCAAACCATGGTTTGTACAAACCTCCTTTGTGAATACGAGCCATTCACTTCAGTTCTGGATTTGTGTTGTAAATTATTGACTCTTAATTAAAGGTAGTTACATTTCCCTGCTACAACCACTCCAACTTGACTTAACATCAGGTACCGACACAAGTACGATACAAAGTCTGCTGTTTCAAGACTCTGCATGCATCCAAAAGTGATTTCAGCATTTATATAGATGTCATTCATAATTTCTCATTAACTTTGCTATTTGCTTCAAAATATGATATTGTAACTGTAACCGTACTGTAATGATATGTTTCAACTTTTCCACAGACAATCTTACTTCAAACATACAAAATGATACTAAAAATACTTACTCAAAGGAATACCGCTTGGAAGCATACATCAGTATATGGTTGTGGAAACACTCGAGCATGCTGGTGTGCCTAAGGAATTATGAAAACAAAATAAAAACTGATATAAATGATAGGGCATTTCATTATTTTCATACCACAAAATCAATATTGAAAATCCCATGTCATACACATGAGCAAATAAGATGCATTATCTTGACCTGCTGATATGTCCCAATTTTATAGGTCATAACCAAAAAAGAGCTCAATCTTGCAAACATGTACGTAATGAACGCATTCTCATTAAATTCCTCTCAATTTACAGAGCCTTTCGTACATGTATACAGAATCCTACCTGAAGCGAGCAAATCAGCAGAGTAGGCCAAGTTCTCCATGAATTTGCGGTCAAAGGTGACTTGTACTATTCACCTGCTAATTCCCCTACTGCTGCTTGGAATTTCTTCGCTGGGGATGGATTGTGTTGTCTGTTCTTCATATCTGTAAAAAGTGAAGAAACGAAAGTCATTCACAAAGTAAAAAACATTCAGATTTTAAATCACCAAAAGAAATTATTTTGAAGATGGCATTCTCTAATAATTATCACAGCTAGCCAGATTTGGAATTTGCATGACTAATAACTGATGCATTGGTTCTCTGTCATGTATGTGAAGTTGAGACACTCTTTGGTAGAGATAAATATAGATGAGACAGTCACATCTCAAGCAAGCTATAGTATAACCTTGTCGACTTTTAAAAAGAGCAGGATGTTTACCCGGTTGACTAGCCCTGCACGTCATCATTACAAAGAAAACTGCAGTTGTAACGAGGGACATTAAAGGTAGGGTCTATTACAAAGTTTTGGGAAATTTTGAAAATTGGGTGGATAGTGATTCTTTACAATTTTGATATATTTGGATGCCCCTGTGGAAGTATTATAAGCACTAGAAAATTTAGCTCCTAAAACACTTCTGCTTTCGAAAAAAATTGAATATAAAAATTTACCGGTGCTCCCGGTAAATTTTGATAAATTTAAAATAGCGCCTACGGTCGTACAACGGTAGCTGCTAGTGCTACCATAAAAATCCCGGAATATGTAGTTGTGATATATAATTTCAAAAAGGTAATAGCCAATCGGTCAATTGTAGCTTGTTGTATAGCTGAATTAATATATTGACCTTGAGAGAGAGTTATAGTATACCCCATAAAGAGATTATTATTTACAATTTCATCACTTTAGACTCGATTTCAACGCGACAACGTTCACTGAATATTGTAGGATCGCATAGACCTATGCTTCCAATATTTTCATTTGAACCAAATTCATCCGGAGGTCTAGTGGAGCCAGACGTAGTCTCAGTGGAACAACCGACGATATAGAGACTGAAGCTTTCGGTCTACTGTAGACCTAGGCTAGACTATCAATATCATATGATTCATGAAATCTGAATTAAAAATCCAAGGCAAGAGATAACAAAACGTAATTTCTTAAATTTGCCGATTTCATGCATCTAGTCTCTAGACTAGATCAAATTAAAACGGTAGGCCTACCCAATGCAGTGGGGCGTATATCATTTCAACTTACCTCTCAGTGAGCTGGCATGTCTATTGCATCCTCTAGACTCGGCAACGAGAAGGCCGCCTGCAGCTCGCGAAGTTTCTCCGCCGTACCCTGGCCTTGTTCACAGCCACTCCCGCGCCTCCTCTGGGCCGGATGGTCGAGCTGCCATTGCTTGTTTCTCTCCTTCCTCTTACCGTCTTACTTAGTCTTATTCCGATTTAGCGTAGCCTTAGCCTTGTCCTTAGGCTTAGCACTAGCTGAGTCCGAGTCGGCCATCGTCCGTGACCTCGAGCTCCTTTTCCAATCTCGATCTCGTTATCGTATTTCAATCAAAGCTTGTCTGTAGCTGTCTAACGTTCGATCGGCGCCGGTGATAATCTGATATGAGCTGTGTGTGTTATACTTTACGTGAAAGCAGCGTATTGGAATTGATCAGCTGTACTGTATTACTAGCGCGCGGTCGGATACCCGCCTGCTAGCTAGCTACCTGTAGTACTGTACGTACCAACGAACTCAAACACTCGTTGTAAATACGCTGGTTGTTAAATGACATAGAGGGAGCTAAACACGTAAATTCAAAAAATAAATCGTCGAAAGTCAAAAGTGATGTCCGGACGTCAAACACTTTTATATAATGTTTTGAAAGCAAATTGCACAACAATTAGAGCATTTGATTTGGAATTATTATCATCTCCCATGTTTTTTTCGATGATCTTTCATATGGTACTGAAATAAACCAAATCTGTTTTGGAGGGGCACTTTGGAAATTACCAATACTCAACTATACCTTTAACTCCAAGACTCCAAGACGATCAGTCATGCACAAAGAAGATGAAAGACTTGATGCATGGCTGATCATCAACGAAACAGAGTTAAGTCTTTTGTCAACTCTATATTTTGCTACGGCAGTTAGCCATTTAAACAAATTTGTTTAATAAAATTAAGGAAATGCAAGCATTACTTTAACTTTAGCATTACAAACAGAACTTTGTTATTCCTGGCTAATTTTTCCTGATTGAGGTGTCATATGAAAGGGCAGAAAATGAACTTTCTAGAAATGTGATTTTCTCTTTGAAATTCAGATACCGCCCGCCAAATGACTTTTTGGTTTCTCTCTTCAAATTGTTTTTAATCACTCATGCATGAGATATGCATCATATGAGTTGCATCGAATAAAAGAGGAGGATCTAAGCTTTACAAATATGTGTCATTTATTAATCATAGTTGTGATTAAGTTATGATAAACATCGATAAATCTCGGTTTCGTTTTTTGTGGGACTCACTGTATAGAGCACCAAGCAGCAATATCTTCATCCCATCAAAATCAACAAAATACAGTCGAGTCATCAGAGAGTTACTTTCTCATTTTCCTTTTTATTTATTGTTTATGTTGAGAAAATCACAAATGACAAGTTACAAAAAAAAGTCAACCTGGAAACTATGGCTGGTATTCTTAAATATTGACCAAAGCAAGGACTAATCCCTGACTAATTAAAAAAGAGATCGCATAAAAGCATCTGCAGTATTAACTATAAAGGAACAGAGGTATAAAGTTAAAATATACAAAAATGATAGAACAATCAATTATATGCCAAATTAAACATATATGTTTTGAAATTATTTTTAAACACTTCAACTGGTCTACAATGATATACATGTAGGCATATCTTGAGGCATTCCGGGGCAAAGGTTCTCTCCCCACTTTATAGTATTGAGCTTAGGAAGAACAAGAAATCCAGAGTTTTTAGAGCGTAAAGATCTGGACAGAACGTAAATATATTCATCAAAGTAATATTGTACTGTGGAGCAGAGCCATGGACACAATGAAATAAAAGCAAAAGAATATAAGAAGATAAGATAATGTTTACCTTGATATACTTCCCCAGTACCATTCAGCATCGTTTAGAGACTTTGGGTAGTCGGTGCTACCGGTGCTGATATAATCACCTGGGCTCTTCCTAGGGGGAGGCTCTGAATAACAAGAAGATAGAAATATTCAATTCATTTCAATTTTATTTCTCTTTCCAACAAAACATAACAAATCAATTATAATCATTTACAACAGTTAAGGAATACATAGTGGACACTAAGGCCTATCAAATACAGGTCATCCGATTGCATTGTGAAAGAAAAGGTGTGGAATGGATCAGAAAAAGTCGATCATGTAGCATGTAAGTATTTGTGTGTACTGCAAAGTTCTGGAGTCATCAAAATCATAATAAATTTGGCCCAGTCTTGGTAAAGTAACAAGCACTGTACACAGAAAGATGTAGATGGGACTACACAAATGGTGTCGGGGTTACCTACCTTGATTTCCTTATCTTTCTATGCTCATTACTCAGCCAGTATACATTTTCTACCAAAATTGTTTGGCAAATGACATTTATTTGTAATCTTGAACATTCAGTGAATGTTTTGTTTGATTCTGTGAGAATTCACTTTAAAAAAACAACCATAACTCACATTTATCTTTAACAGTACATGAACATCATATACTTCATCATAAATACATGTACGAGTGTGCAGATAATATTGCATAATGCAATTTCAAGAATAGATGTACATGTATCTGAATGTTCTACTACTGCATGCATCACAGAAAAGTGGAATGATATGTTTTCTTTATGATGAGGTTATGGGTTGATTTGGTTGTAAAATGTAAACCATTAAAGTCATCATTTAACAATGTTAAATCTGAGATGCATGGCCCTACCTTTACGTGTAATCAGTGTCTGTAATATGGTGAATTATTGGAGCCTTAGAAAAAATGCGCTTCAAAATGATCATGAAGTGCCTTAAAAAAAAGTAAAAATATTTGAGTAACCGGTTTTACCATACTCATTTTCCCCATTAGACTGTAATGTTATAAAAAACCGTTAGGAAAACGAAAAATGAAATTTTGATTTCCAATCATTAATATCTTGATAATCAGACAGGCGATCGGCTAGTAAAAGTCACAGGATACCTGACTGACCTAAAGGTTATGAATTATGATTGCAGCATGAGCTAAATTCAGGATTTTGTTCAGAATCTGAGGCAAAGATACCCCATCCCTTTAAGAATTTATTTGTCTCTCTATTCCAATATGTGGCTTCATGAATGCCCGTCGGGGAGGAACCCCTCGAGTGTCAAGCTGGTTTCAATCATAAATCACTGATCTAACATTTCATTACAGAAAGATTCAATGGGCATGCCATATACAGCCAATTAACCTTTGAAATCCAACAACACTCCAATAAAAAATAATTCTCTTCTCCTTGTAGTATTAGAGTTACAACTCTTGCCTTATGTTGACCGACTGTATTAATGAACAAATAATGAAATCTCATACAGCGTAAACAAACTAGATCCTCTTCCTTGTTCGAAAAGTATCAAACAGCACATTCATACTGTTTATGTTTTCAGGTCTAGCAGCCAACCTCTGATGCTCAATGGTGAGAATACCAAGATGTTTTCATCAGTTGATTTGCACCAAAGATCCCATAATATAAACAATTTTATGACAGGGCAAGGAGGAGAAATGAAGTGTGGAAAAATACACATAATTTGGTGTCAATTGAGACGGAAAAGCTTATTCATTTTAAAGGGATCCGGTAACTTTGTCTCAGATTCTCAAACAAAATCCCAGATTTAGCTCATGCTGCAATGATAATTATAAACCTTTAGGTCAGTCAGGAAGCCCATGACATCGTAACCAAATTTCACGTTTTCCTAACAGTTCCCATAACACTACAGTCGATTGGGGGAAACGAGTATGGTAAAACTAGTCACTCAAAGATTTAAAAAAAAATTTGAGGCACTTCTTGATCATTTTGAAGCACAACTTTTTTAGGGCGTCAATATTACACCATATCACAGACACCCATAACACGTAGGGCCGTGCATCTCAGATTTAACATTGTTAAACGATGCCCTTAACCTTTGGTAAACTTTAAGTTGGTACATATGTGATAAGTTACCTGGTGCATCTTCCTCCGATGTGTTGCCCCATCTTCCGTGTTCAATCAGAGTGTTCACAATCTCCTTGTGATCATTCGTATTCCGGATAACATTTCTACAAACATCAACAAACAAACAACCCTCATTATAATCTGATGTCCTTCAATTTTACAGTTCATAACTATGTAGATATGTACATCAAAGTATTTCAATAGTTAAATATCATGATATTATACCAGGAAAATATTATTATTATTTCAATATTCTGAAACCAATATGTATATTAAAAACATTAAGATACATGTACAATGGTAATGCATTCATAAAATGCATTTTGTATATGTAAGTAAATAATCATATGCATGTACCAGGTAGGCAAATGTATAAACATTGTAAAACGTTAATGTGATTCGTTTTTATGTTCTATGTGCATTGTAACTGTAAGATTATTGTACCTTGTAACAAAGCCAATGGACAGAGAATTTCAATGCATTACCGTGAATCAAAAAGATGAAATTATCATGAAAAGAAATGCCCAAGGCCTTTTATTGAACAAGTCAGAGTGAGAGGACAAACTATTATGTGAATGATCTCAAATGAGCTCTGGTACAAAGGTTAATTATCGCCCCGTAGCTCATTGCAACCTTGGTTCTTACATAGTGTGGATTTACCATGGCAACACAGAGTCTGAGAAATTAGGGTATGAAGATGACACTCGTTAGTAACATGTAGGTATTATACTGATCATACAGGTATGTTCAAACTAAATATAGCGGTGCCAGAAACTACTTGCTATCTTTAAAAAAATCTAAGTTAGCCTTGGAATCCATGCAGACCCTATTCTATGTGAGCACGTACAGGTCCGCCACGTAGTCTACTTATAAGTCGTTTTTATTGTTAATTGAAATGTATTTAAACTTGCGACATCTCTTAACAGAAGTAGTACCTGAAACTCATATTTTGAATACAGCTTAGCGACATGGAATCCCTAACACAGAGAGCGAATTATTAATAAAGAGATGAAACATAGATTGAAAATAAAAATAGACCTATTATGACGGAATAAAGCTCTAGAACAAGAATGCGGTGGGACTTTCCCTTTCAGGCTATTCACTTCATGTCTAGCTAGAAATAAAATATTACATCCATGTGAAACTGAAACTTACTATTAACAGGTTTATGGGAAAGCAAGGTCGTTTGTGTACCTACACTATTCTTAAAGAGATTTATGGGAGTCTTGGCATGTATCATAATTGTTTCATAATGTGAAAGAGGATGTCATCTAAGATACATTTCTGTAAGGATTTTTAAAACAAATGTGTTTGAAGTCAAATACTGATAAAAGAATACCAAATTTAGATTTTTCTGCTTACAGGTACAACAGAAAACCTCAATTATGTATTCTTTTATCAATATATGTCTTCAAGCACATTTTTTTTTTTTTTTTTTTTTTTCGGGGGGGGGGGGGGGGGGGAATCTTTGCAGAAGTGTGTCTTAATTGACATCCTCTACAACATTATGATAACATTTCAGTGAAAGTTTGCTCTCAATTTTTTGGCACATTTGGGGCTCCCAACACCTTAGAGGGGCTCTAACTGAATTAGAAGAAAATTGAGCTTACATGAGTTCATGTTGAGGGGGCCTAAGTAGTATATGACAGAAGACTGCCGCTAGGTGCCAGGCTTGAATCTGAGATGTAATTCGCTTGAAGTGAGCCATAAGGTAGTACAGAGTTGAATGGTGTGCTGGAGGAAGCTTCTCAACGCAGGCCAGCAAATTGGCAATGCGGACATGTTTGTCGACAGTTCCTGCAACCATGATATGAGCACATGAAGCAATCAAAGTTTAATCAAAGTTTGATCAGTTTCAATGAAATTGCAACATTGTTAAAGGTAATACAAAGTTTTGGTATGGGGTCATGAAGTTGGTTCAAATGAACATATTGGGAGCATATATGATCCTACAATATTCAGTGATCGTTGTCGTAGAATCTACCTGGGTGTATATAAAGTATTTTTAATGTGGCACAGAACTAATTCCTAATGTTTGCAGTTTTTAACATCAAATGTAAGTTTGTTTTGCGTTTTTTCTGTGTGAATTATTTGGTCATTACAAGAGCCCAAGACTATCTGCGAAGGCGGTATTGGTGTTATCATAGATCTTCAATTACAGATGAAGTTTTGTTGTGTTTGTGTGGTTGTATTGTGTAAGTAAAAAAGGTTGAATATTTAGCACATAAATATTGTAATCATCAAAATGATAAGATAATGAAATAGTCATGCAATAGTCATGTGTGTTATACACAGAAATGCATATGGGACAAAACAAACGTAGCATGAAAATTTGGTCCCATACCCTTTAAGTCCTTCTTGTCATATTTCAAATATGGTAGAAAATGTGTAGGGACTGAGTAATGAGCATAGAAAGATAAGGAAATCAGGGTAAGTAGGCCCGACACCATGTGCTTATTAAACACAGGTCACTATGTGCAAATGAGAGTTGTGGTCTTTATTGAAGATGATTTCCAGCAAGTTTTTGTGAGGTTGTTTTTATTTTACTAGTTCAAACAAACAATCTACTGCAGGATAAACAATCCAGAATGAATAATAGCCATGTTCTCTTGAACATACGATGCCCATACCAGAGCTCAAGAATAGCTTTAAAGATAATTTTCAGAAGATATTTGTTCCATGATTTTCTTCCACACTAACAGAACAAAAAAATGAGGAAGATGAGGGGGGCACACAGAGGTGGCGTTCAACAGGTACTAAAGGATCTTCCCTGATACTCACTATGTGCTGCTAAGAGACTGTCGTACATTTCAATTGGAATGACTGGATTAGGCAACAATAAGGAGGGGGGAGAGGGGGAGAGGGGAGGGGGCCACAAAGAGGTTCCCCTGGTACTAAAGGATCTTCCCTGATACTCACTATGTGCTGCTAAGAGACTGTCGTACATTTCAATTGGAATGACTGGATTAGGCAACAATAAGGAGGGGGGAGAGGGGGAGAGGGGAGGGGGCCACAAAGAGGTGGCGTTCCCCTGGTACTAAAGGATCTTCCCTGATACTCACTATGTGCTGCTAAGAGACCGTCGTACATTTCAATTGGAATGACTTAATTAGGCAACAATAAGGAGGGTCCGAGGGGGAGAGGGGGGGGGGGGGGGAGGGGGCTACACAAAAGTGGCGTTCCCCAGGTACTAAAGGATCTTCCCTGATACTTACTATGTGCTGCTAAGAGACTGTCGTACATTTCAATTGGAATGACTTAATTAGGCAACAATAAGGAGGGTCCGAGGGGGAGAGGGGAGGGGGGGGGGAGGGGGCTACACAGAAGTGGCGTTCCCCAGGTACTAAAGGATCTTCCCTGATACTTACTATGTGCTGCTAAGAGACCGTCGTACATTTCAATTGGAATGACTTAATTAGGCAACAATAAGGAGGGTCCGAGGGGGAGGGGGGGGGGGGGGAGGGGGCTACACAAAAGTGGCGTTCCCCAGGTACTAAAGGATCTTCCCTGATACTTACTATGTGCTGCTAAGAGACTGTCGTACATTTCAATTGGAATGACTTAATTAGGCAACAATAAGGAGGGTCCGAGGGGGAGAGGGGAGGGGGGGGGAGGGGGCTACACAGAAGTGGCTACACAGAAGTGGCGTTCCCCAGGTACTAAAGGATCTTCCCTGATACTCACTATGTGCTGCTAAGAGACCGTCGTACATTTCAATTGGAATGACTGGATTAGGCAAAAATAAGGATGGGGTCAAGGGGGAGAGGGGAGGGGGGCATACAGAGATGGCGCTCCCCAGGTACTTAAGGATCTTCCCTGATACTCACTATGCGCTGCTAAGAGACCGTCGTACATTTTGATTGGAATGACTGGATTAGGCAACAATAAGGAGGGGGGAGAGGGGAGGGGCCACACAGAAGAGGCGTTCCCCATGTTCTACAGGATCTTCCCTGATACTCACTATGTGCTGCTAAGAGACCGTCGTACATTTCAATTGGAATGACAGGATTAGGCAGTTCTCTGAGATATCTTTTGAGTACACCAGTGATGCAATGGACATCGGTATAACGGGATAGATCGACAGCATCGGGGTTCTCGTTGAAGCTGCGTTTGATATCGTTGACGGCTGACGTCGATGAAGATACTCGATATAAACCCCGCTCTCCAACACCTATCAGAACAAAACAAGGCCATATGAAATATTCAGTTCTTGTATAGCGCATATCACATAATATTATAACGTCCATATAAAATTAGGACATTTTTACCCTAGCTTTTGCCCTGGCAGCCGTTATCAGCACACAGTGCATTTCAAGGAATAATCCTTCCAGTTACCCATTTACCTCACCTGGGTCGAGTGTGGCAAATGTACATTAATGTCTTGCCAAAGGAAATTAGTGATCCCGGTGACATATCCACTCGACCAAGACACCTATAAACATCTCTCAACACGGCCTAAAACATTTGAAATCTAAAAGACTACAAGTCTGCTCTAAGACTGGATATTACTTGTCTTTTCAAAAATATCATTCACCTATATTCACTATTTTTATTGTTCTATTTACTGTTTTATTTTTTTTATTTTGCATTTCAGGATTGCAGTGTTTATACCGTCTTATTTTTAAGAAGCAAAAAATGATGACCATGACAAACTGAGAAAAGTAGTAAATTGTTAAGAACAAATCAAGAATGTTATGTATAAATGCAATAAACATGTACATGTCAATAAGCATTTCAGTTCTTTCTAATAATTCTATTAGAATCTTCAAGTAAAAATGTAATAACATCTCAACATGACTTTAAAAAAAAGTATAAATAAGTATGACGTTGTACCATCCAGAACTGCTTTAAGGTTATGAACTTGGAAATTAATTATTTGTCCCTTTCCACTTTGAAATCTCTCGGGAACAAGTGAGGTTTAGTCACTTCAGCACTCTTCTTGCAGCACAGACTGAAAAACAACTACCGTAGATGCGGTTTCTCTATCCAAATCACTTCTGACAACAAGGATCAAGGAATATTTTGTTCCCTTTACATTTGGCAGCTCAAGCTGGAGCGTCGGTCTGAGATGCTAAACTTCATTACTCTCCAAATGTCAGAAGGGGGGAAGGTCTTCCCGATCGAGGGCAGGATGTCCATATAATAGCCCCCATCCTGTTTTTGTCGCTGGCATAATTCACTTCGCCTCATCATGCTGGTTGTCTTTGAAACTGATCTTAGGTGAATATTTCCCTTCTCCCTTTCACTACACCTACATGTACATGTATTTCTCTCTCCTCTATCTTCTTCTTCTTCTCCTCTCTCTCTCTCTCTCTCTCTCTCTCTCTCTCTCTTTCTATCTTATACGTTTCTCTCATCTTGCTGTCTAATTCTATTTTTTTTCTCCACCCTCTCTCTTTCTCTCTTTCCATGTCAACCTCTCTTTTTCTCCAATTTCTTCTGATATACCCCCTTGCAACCACCCACCCCCCTCTCTCTCTTTCTCTCTTTCTCCCTCTCCCTCTCTCTCTCTCTCTCTCTCTCTCTCTCTCTCCATCTCTCTTTCTCTTCTCTCTCTCTCTCTTTCTCCTTTTCTCTCTCTTGCTCTCTCTCTCCTCTCGTTCTCCTTCCCTCTGTCTTTGGCCCTCGCTCTCTCCTTCTCTCTCTCTCTCCTTATCTTACCCTTTAAATCTATCAATCATACTCCCATCTTTCCATCTTTCTATTTCCAAAGAATGACGACATTATCAAAACAAGGATTGAAGTGCATTGAAAGTGTTTTTGATGTGACTAACCTTTGCTTTCTATCGCGTCTACACATTTGATGACAACAAGAGGCGCTTGTGAACGAGATGGATCAAACTGGTCTGCTAGGCTTTGGCTGAACACATTGGCTAAAAAAAGAAAAAAATGAAGAAAACAAAATCGCTATCAGCATTCACATACATACTGTACTGTCGATGAAAGAAGTTGAAAGATTGCATAAAAATCATTGTTTCTTGGATAGAAGAAAAAAAAAGAACAAGTTAGAGGGACAAATGCTACACAAGACATTATATCACTTCACAGATACAGGTACCGTAAAAATCTCCCTGTATAAGATGCACCCTTTTCCCGCCAATTCTTTTTTGAAAGCCGGGGGTGGGTCTTATACACAGGTACAAAACTAAAAGAAAAAAAAATGTGTCGATTTATGCCCCTTCACCTGGCGCTGTGCCTGGCAATGTCTCCCAACACATTCATACAAGGTGTGTTGACTCACCACTCAGAAACTAGAACAACACTACCTGTATGGGCAGGATTTCTGTCATCTTTAGTTTTAAAAACGACATTGTTACTATTATTTGTTTGTTTGTTTGTTTGTTTTGTTTATTTCCACTTTTTCATATCAATACAAAGAAACATACAAATAAATATAATGAATAACATGTAAGTTAGACAAAATTTGTTTCTAGTTTCTAGACCACTGTCGAAAGCGTAAATGCTTGTCATTTGCGACAAGTTCACAAGCACAATCGGCGCCTTCAACTACACCTCGCTGTAAAATAAAGGCCCTTCCTCGCGTGGGTTTTCTAACACGGACCAGACCATTAGGAAAACGCCAAATTTGATTTTGATTTCCAATCATTAATATCTTGATATTCAGACTGGTAAAAGTCATGGGGTTCCTGACTGACCTAAAGCTTTATAATTATGATTGCAGCATAAGCTAAATCCAGGATATTGTTTCAGAATCTGAAGCAATGTTACTGAATCATTCAAACAAGATAGGCTACTTACCACGTATAGCACTATCTCTCCTTGTTCTGATACCCGTTGGGTCACATCTAGGAAGACCAGTAGCTGCACATGTACGATGGAAGATAGATCCACAGTCTGTAAGAAACATACATTAGTAAACATTATATCCCACATACCAAGAATCTAACATGATTGGTCTATATGAGATCACATGACAAATTACCGGTATTGTATATCTTGACGGTCATAAACTATCACATTTTATATCACAGTCTCTCTTTTGCTGATAATTAATATTATATTCCACATACATGTACTACGAATCTTGCTCTACGGTTGGTCAAAAGTAAATCATGTGATGAAAGATAGTTAGCCCATCATTGATGGGAGAAGGAAAGTTCTTGCACTGTGTACACAGTGCAATGCACTTTCACTGAAGATAGAAGTACTATCTACACAGTGCAACGCACTTTGATTGTATACGCTGCGTATTGCTCTCCTCTTTAAGCGCTTTTAGTGTTAATACGCGAACTTTGGTCACGCGCAAACTATATGGTCACACCACCATACTGCATGCACTGTACGTATTGTACACTGTTTGCTAGCTGTTGATTGATGACTTGTTGCTCTAAAATGACGGAAGAAGTGAAATGTTTCCGATGCGGAATATAAAGCAAATAATCACCTTTTGGTTTCAGGCGATGGCAAACTATCACTTCCTCGGCAAACTGAATGTATATGCTATCTTTCCTCAGCTTCGCTTCGGAAAGATAGCTACATCACCTTCACCAACGGTAATTATTTGCTTAATAATAATAATGTCAACTTATAAAGCACACATATCCATTCTAAAAGACTGCTCAAGGCGCTCTGTACAATATCACAATAATTATACAATATTAAAACTAGGACATAAACAAATGGTGTTTAAGTTTCTTCTTAAATATTTCAATTGATGATGATTGTCTTTAATATTTGTGATGGTAAAGTTTTCCATAATTTGGGTGCAATTTTAGCAAAAGCCCTGTCCCCCCATTTGTTATTGGTTTTGGGTGTACATATGTAACCGATGCCACATAGACAATATACACTGAGAGCTAATGGGTTATTTTTAGGGCATTTGGTTGACTCATGTAGCACATGAGTGGGAAAAAAAACTATATATTTTGGAGAAAAAAACGTAATAATTCCGGGAAAAAACGTAATGGTTAGCAACTCTGAATGGGTCAAATATCTAGGGACAGCAGTGACTACATACATGTACATGTAAGACTATGAACGATGGAATATCCACGTACACTGTAAATTGCAATGACATACAGGTGTAGTATTCTAGTACATCACACATACTATGATTATCTCTATTACAATGTTCTTCTGCTGAAGTCAAATGTTTCAGACATCTATGAGATTCCTCGCTACTCAATGCATGCAATGAATCCCCAAATCTACATTATAGGTTGAATATACAATCTTTACCCCATTCACAAATAATCCTATGTTCAGTTTGTATGATTACACGACTGTACATTAATTGAATGTCATGGAAATGTATGCATTTATAAAACACAATTTTATAAAATCTACTAATTAACGTTCCGTTCATTCATTTTGATGTTGTTTGCTATGAATGTTTTTATATACATGTATGTTTTACTACTGTTTTCTAAAGGCACTAGTATGTGATGTCATCATTATGCTTTGATATACAGACATAACATGCTTTCATTACTTCTAAATAAATGTTTGTGTGTGAAGATGATCATCTAAAAATCAGTAGATATATTGGCTTTAATACTTAAAGATGACAGATGCAAACCAAATACATAATGCCAATATTAAAGTTTCTGATTATAAATACACATGCTCTTCCTTCATCTACCCTCAGTGATGTGAATACAACCATTATCCTTTGGGGGCTGTGCCACCCATGAAAATAGTCATATTCCCATCACCTCCGGGAACATACTAGTTTCCAACCAGACGCTCTCATGGCATTACGTATTTGTAGTTACTGTAGATGATGAGTACAACAGCCTTGACAATACACCTTGCGTACGTAATACATATTTTTAAACCAAGTCCTACACCATGCAAGTATGATGTATGTACACGCTGTTTCAAGAGCAACGACGCAATTTTCTCTCTCGTTAGAGGCTTCAGGCCCACGTCTTATAAAGAGGTACGATTGATCCAATTAAATCAATCATTTGATCCAATTCAATTGCAAGTCCTCCAACGCAAGTTTGCAGTCTCTTATCTCTTACATTATTGCAATTGATATCAACTCTTTATATTAAAGACACGGCCCTGAGGGGTGTTTCATGAAACAATTAGTCGGTGGTTTTCACCGACTAATATCATTTTCACCGACAATTCTTTTGTCACCGACTATTTTCCAGGACTGTGATTGGTCAAATTTAGTCAGCGCTGACTAAATTGTCGGTGAACATGATATTAGTCAGTGAAAACCTCCGACTAATTGTTTCATGAAACGCCCCCCAGATCTTCCATTTACTTGAAAAAAATCTTCACTAATGATCTACACTTCAATAAAAAAAAAACACTAATAATTTCATATTTTTCACAAAGATAAAAAAACGTTTTTTAATTGAGACTCACAGGTATTCCTCCGCGGAGGTTTCTGAATCATGATCCTAGGTTAAAAAGTCAAGGTGCGCAATCATCGACCGAATAGTTGTGCAGGTCTATCTACCAGATAGTTCAGTCAGGAAGGAACATACTTCCAGGAAGTCTAGCATTCCATATGTATTACACAACAAGACTAGGAGAGCTTAGAGCAGTAGGAAGTATGGCATCGTACTCAACAGAACAGACAATCGCTTACTGACTGGCCAATCTAGCATTCAGTATTGTATCCTAATTACCTGGCGTGAACTCAACTCTGTGCCTGGCTTCAACAAGCGCATAAAGAGATCTTAAAGTTGGCACGGAAATATCAAATCTTGAAATGATAACCTTGCAAATGTTTTAATTTTACCAGACAATGTGAAATCCTTGACATCATTCTCTGGGTACTTAAAATAATTTCCCATTAGTATCAACGTTGTGATTGGCTAAATTGCATTCAATGCTAAATACTAACACACATGTAATTAGCCATAAATATGTTGAGACATACACATGTACATGTACTTTCATGATGTTTCATTGCATTTTGTTATATTGTGAATTTTTAATGTTATGTACCGTAATTGTCATGTATGTTTTATAGGTCCACCCACTTCCCTCAAGCAATCGGTTTATCCGGTGTTAATGATCCAGTATAATTCTCATTGTATGTGATTTTTGTAATGAAATAATAAATTGAATTGAAATACATTGAAATGAATAATGTAAATGAATTTCATTGATACTAAGAGTATAGTTGGAACTGTGATCACACAAAAAATATGGAAAGTTGCCAATTTCGATATCATTGAAATAAGGTAGTCATTTCACTATTAACACCGCCTTTTGAGAGAGAGAACTTTCACGTTTCAGTTCCAATATAAACAATACATATGCTCTAAAATAGACTTTGTTACCCACTATCCGGTAATGTGCATATTTATGGCCTAGCTAGTCATAAAAATACTTTTCACAAAAGTAAACACATGATAAGATTCATTCCTCTTTTTTGAGACTTGAAAACACTGTGATGCGATTACTGATACACTAGAAACTAAACACTAGAGACAACGCCTTTTAAAGCAGATGTATGTTCATTCATTGACACGCATGCACAGTGTAGATAAACCTATAATTATCTTACAATCAGGAACTCTTCATGGAACAAATCTTAAAATTGCAATCGTATGTCACATCTACACATGATAATAAATCAACATAAAGGAAAATCTACAAGGAACTTTGGCAAATTGCAAAAATGATGTGAGCGTCAGCTGTGTTTAAACTGATTGCGGCATGAAACTTTCACATAATTATCTTAACCACTCACAAAATTTATGAGCATTTTATATACAAGTAATTTTCTGATTTTCTGACGGTAAACATACGTTTTTAGGTGGTCAAGCTTATGATGGCAGCAAGATGATAGAGACAAGTTACAATTAAAACTGAAATCATTCTCCCAAAACTAGAATTTGTATCGCTTCATTACTTTCCCCTTTTTTTTCTTTTTGGGTAAATGCAGATTGAATTTCTTACATTTACTTAAACTCTACTCCCCTTACAATACACTGAACAATTGAAATTCATGGAACTTTCCCATTTTTTGCTAAACATTTTAGAATACAACTAAATTCATGATGATTTCGAGCTACATGAGAGGACTTTCGAGATTAGATAATAAAAGAGAAAATAAATTTGTATCAGCAATCCTCAGCAAATGAAATCAGGTCCTTGCTCTATTAAAGATTGTTGCTTGATGAGTTTTTAATTCTAAGATAAAATACAGGTACATGTACAATTGTGTATGGTAATACATCAGTATACATATAAATCTTAAACAGAAGTTAATTTCTATATACAGTATTCAAAGGATTGAACTGAGTGATTCATATATTAACCCATATAATAGCTTCAACAACACCCCCCAAAAAAGGAAAGAAAAAAAAAAAGGAAGATTTGCTGAATACATACAATGAATCTGAACATGTAAATCTGAAACAAGGTTCATTTCTATATTCAAAGGATTGATGGCCTATTGCCTGCATGATCAGGGGGGATTCATTTTTTAACCCATAAAATAGTTTCAACAACAACACTACAAAAAAATATTTAAAAAAAGAAAAAAGAATGAAGATTTGTTGAATACATACCTGAGCATTCTAGACCCTGCTGTACCAGACCAAACATGAACTTTTCACATTTATCACACCATTGCATGGTAGAGAATGTCCTTTCTTTTAGCCTATGCTCAGTATTTGGATGGGTGCCTGGGCAAGACAAAACAGAATACAATCATTATTTAAAGAGAAGGTTGAGTTCTGGGGAGAGGTGAAATATAAATTATGAAGGTTACCATTCTTATTATGCGAGTGTGGAAGAACATCAGATAAAACATGCTCCACGAAAAGCATGGCTCTTCAAATGCCTTCATATTCTAAATATGGCATGTAAAAATCTGGGGTATGATTTTTACGCCACATGTTTGTGTAGTCCCATATACCGGTACATCTTTCTGTGTACAATGTTTGTAACTTTACCAAGACTTAGCCAAATTTCTTATCATTTTGATGATTCCAGAACCTTGCAATACACACAAATTCTTATATGCTAGATGATCAACCCTTTCTGGTCGATTCCACAACGTTTCTTTCACAATGCAATCGCATGACCATAACTGGTCTAAATCTTCAATGCACTTTCACCATCTTCAGAGTTCTATCATCCGTAGAAGACATGGTCATGGCCATATCTTCAGCATTTTCATTTTTTGTACATTAACGGTAATACAAAGTTTTGGTATGGGGTCATGAATTTGGTTCAAACGAACTTATTGGAAGCATATGTGATCCTACAGTATTCAGTGATTCTTGTCGCGGTTGAAATTGAGTCTAAAGTTATGAAATTGTAAATAATAAACTCTTTATCTTGTATACACCTGTACATGTACATGTAGCTCCCTCTCTAGGTCAAGATATTAATTAAGCTATAAACAATGTCTCTTGACTAAAATCAACCGATTAGCTATTCCTGTTTGGAAATTATATATCCCAACTACATATTCTAGGATTTTTATGGTTTCAGCTACCATTGTACGGCCGTATAAGTGATTTGAAATTTATAAACATTTTTACATTCAATTTTTCTCGAAAGCAGAAGTGTTTTAGGGGCTAATTTTCTAGTGCTTATAACAAAAAAGTTGTTGCATGCATACCCACTCTAAATTTAATTCTGAAACCCCTTCCAAAAAACTGTAAAGAATCACTGTATATGGACACATCTATGAAGTATGCAGATTGATTGAGTGACAATGAGTGCATCTGATGTACATGTACATACTACTCTTCTGCTATTGCGCAATAGGAACAACTCTTAGGGGATTTCTTCAAAGGCCCCAAAGGAATAATGTTCCAAAGTTCTTACACCAGGATTCTGATGGTAAGAAGGAATTGATAGTCTTCTGTTTGCTAAGTATATTGAGTCAGTCAGTCAGTTCAGTTTATATGGTGGTATTCAGTTGAACTTGTGGATGGTGTTTATGGACGGTAAAGAAAAAAAAAATCACAAGGGAAATTCCCTCCTATTAAGTGTAACCATTCAGGGCGGTTTTAGTCTTTCCCCCTACTTTATGAAAACATTCAAAATAACCAAACAAGAACACAGCCAATCCATTTTACAGAGAAACTCATCTACGATAACATGTACTGTACTGCTTTCAAATGAAAGGAAGTAGAAAAGAAAAAATAATAATAGGAAAACAAATAAGGATAAATATGAGAAACTCAAGTCGACTAATTGGCCTTGCCACGGATGTCTGCAAAGACTCTTTGATATTTACACCTTTAAGTTAACAAATGATATGATACACTTTTCTAAAATATTGGACAAATACATGTAGGAATAATAATAATAATAATAATAATAACAATATTTAATTTTTATATAGCGCTTAATACATATGTCTCTAAGCACTTTACAAATGTACTATTACCCCGGTCATTGTCATTACACTGCTACAGCTACAATGTTTTCCTACAACTTAGCAACAGCACTTTAAACAGAAGTGAAACTTCGAAGAATACGTGTTAATAACCACATAAAAAGTGTGATTAGAGGTCATTCATTTGTCTGCTCAAGCAAAGAAGGAAATTCGTCCTTCAAAAATGAAAAGAACTCAAGCATTAAAGCAGTATCCATGGACAGTTTATTCTCTTGGACAAGGAAATTTATTGTTAAGAAGATGAGGATCCGGTCTTAATAGCAAGTACAATGTAGGTGTACTCAGCATATGACGTGTATAGTAGTTTTAAAGTCCCTCTAAAGTGTTGGGAGCCCCACAAATTTGATGGTAAAATTTCACTTAAATTGTATCATGATGTAAAAGAGGATGTCTTTCAAGACACACTTTTGCAAAGATTTCCTCCAAAAAATGTGTTTGAAGACAAATATTGATACAAAAAATACATCATTTAGGTTTTCTGTTGTATAAGAAAAGTGGTCTTTACAGACAGGTGGTCTTTTGTGTACAGGTTCCTTTAGTACCGTTCAATGAGAAATCATTTTCAAGGGAAACTACAAATGTGGTCTTTGTAGACAGGTGGCCTTTGTGTACAGGTTCCTTTAGTACTGTTCAATGAGAAACCATTTTCAAGGGAAACTAAAAATGCGGTCTTTGTAGACAGGTGGTCGCTAAAGCAGGTTTGACTGTACTTACAATCAGGTATTGTAGGTAATGAGAAACTATTGTATTTTCAAGGGAAACTAAAAATGTGGTCTTTGTAGACAGGTGGTCGCTCTATACAGGTGGTCACTTAAGCAGTTATGACTGTACTTACAATCTAGTATTGTAGTAGGAGTATCTCCTTGACTCGCTTGGCTCCTAGAAGGTGCCATGCCACCGCTTCTCGTCCTAGACTTGCCCCAGCACAGCTCGTCACGGGCTATCAGGATACACTGCTGATGAAACTTATCAAGGACACTGATCGACTGCAGTCACAAAAGAGAAATATATATATGCATGTTTTCTTTTAATAACTATCATCTACATGTACATGTAAATAACACATAAACTACATGTAAACTACATGTAAACTAAATTTAAACTACATGTAAACTACATGTAAACTACATGTACATGCAACAGGTGTATTTATTCAGCTACTTCCATACCATAGAAAAGAAGTTACTTTTGTTCTTTTGGCAAAATTGAATATATAAACTCAAATTGTTTTCTGTTTTGGCTGATAAATGATTATGACTGAGAATCAGTTTCAAAACAATTTCATATTAGGACAGTCACTCCTAGCACTCTTGGTTTCATATCATTAAGCTACATGTACATGTAGGGTGTTATTTCAACGATGGAAAATTAGGCTCTGTATGTCTATTAATTTGACTTGCAACAGCAAAAAAATGATTAATTGCTGGCATTCAAACTTCCCTCTAATGTAATTCAAAGAACATTTTTTGGTGATGATTCAGTTCTTGGAAGCAATCCTTTGTAATGCAATCCATCAAAGTTATGTGTGTAATCGATTAGCATACTATAATTGTATTGGTGGTATGCACATGCAGTTTCTTTTCAGTGTTTGTAAGGTCTCTTAAGGTTCATTTAGGATATGCAGCGGTAAACAGCAGCAGTGTTTTTTGTTTAACATGTACATAATGAACATAATAACTGCATGCAAAAAAAAAAAGTCCTTTGCATATTCACTGAGCTCTATGTTATAAGATATGAAAGTGTAAAGCATATTACACACATCAGTGACATCACAGTCTAAAAAACACTATGGTCTACCATCTCATACCTCACTGAGGCTTTATCATCCCACCAGTCTACACTTGCAGGAGGAATTTACTAATGGATCAAACTTTTCAATAAGTAATCCATTGAAACCCATAGGATACCAAGCCCAGGATAACTCAGGCTACGGTTTATGAAAAATGAATGTCATACCTGTACCAAATCAAATGGTATCAAAAGGATAAACTGCAATTTCAATTCCAGAAATAAAACATCATCTTTATTCAAAACAAATTTGATAGTAGAGATGTGATAACATTGATAATAATTATATGTTCATTTACATGTATATACATGTACATGTAGCATGATGGTTCGAAACCAAGTGCCTTTTGGTAAGGTTTAATAATCCTCATTACCAAGTCCCTCGGAGAGGACTTAAAGCCATCGGTCCCCTGGTTGCTGACATACATGTACAAGCACAAGCTTTCTTTAATAGCAGTCAGGTAAAACAAACAAACTAACCAATACTATACAAATACTCTACTGCATTTAATACAATTGAGCGTTCTGAGAAATTCTTCCAATCGGGTACCAAATGTACAGTACTTCACCTGGGTGGAGAGTGGCAAATGTAGATCAATGTCTTGCCAAGGGACAATAGTGATAAGGAAGCGAAAAGTAGCATAACATACCTGTAAGAATTCTTCACTGAGCGAGATTAACTTAGCGCCCTCTATATTCTTTGCTCTGAAGAGTTCTCCATACCGATACATGTTGGTTACTGCCATCCAGTTCAGCACATCCTCCACTCCCCAGTAGTCAACAAACTGCATGAGAGTAAGATAATCATTTAGAAAAAAAGTTATGAACAGTTTGAAATCACTTTAATAAACTTTCTCACACCACAATGATGTGGCTTACACTGAAATAAATGTTGAAAGTAAAAAGTAACTGTTACTCTACCATGGCTAGAATGTCACTTTTAATACCAGGTAACATTACATGCAACAGTTCAATCTCCCATAATAGATACGTTTTTATTTAAGATTACCTATTGTTGAATTCCTATTTTTAAATGTCCATTTCACCTGGTGTAAATAGAAAATTTCTCATAATCTTTCTGACCCGAACATGCAAACTTTTAGGTACATGTTTGTAGAAAGTCAATACAAAACTATGTCACGTTGTCTCATTGTGTAGAAATATATTGAGGCATTGGGGCCAGTGACCAGTTTTCAGAAATCTGGCCCCGGTTTAAAGGAAGACCGTTGTGACTCATGGCCTATTTCAAACAAAGCAGTGACAAGAAAAAAGTGAAAAGTGAAAAAAGTAAAAGTGAGTAATGTTCTCCTATGTATTGTCGATGTTCTATACAGTACGAGTATCATGTATTGTACTTTGAAACATAAATTATATCACACTGATGGACATTATGTTTGTTTCAAATATGTATGTTTGAAGTATGAAAATAGAAATCAATAAATCAAATCAAATCAAACCAAATCAAAGCAGCGACTAGAAAGTGCACTCACCTCTTCCCTGAAGGGGTCATCTCCTGGCTGTAAGAGCTCTTTCTCATACTTTTCAGCAAACGGTGCGCACATCTTGTGAAAAAGATTGCGACAGTTGGGGTACCTGACCGCTATCGCACCACTACCCCATATGTAATCTTGACCTGGAAGTAGAATCAATTCAAATATTAGCATCATGACTAGGAAGAGTTTATACATGAAGATCATTGTTGCATAAAAATACTATGTGTTGATATGGGCCCCATCTTATGACAACGAGCTGCGATTGATCCTAATCAGAAGCAAGTCGTCTAATCAATCACAAGTTTGCAGTCCCCCATCTCTTTAGTACATATTTGAGAATAATCAACTCTTTATAAGACGGGGCCCAGATTTACAGAAATCTGATTCAAACACATTTTCATAATTTTGTAGGCTATTAATGGTGTGCACACGTGACATGTACAATTGTACACTGTACATGTACAAATGTACACTCCCTAAGAAATGGACATAGTGCACACTTGTATGGGCTTAAAATTCAGTGCCCAGGGTAACAATAATTTACTTTTTGGTGCTTAGGGGGGGGGGGGGGTGTTATTATCATCATTACTAATGTACTATTAAGGTGATACCACTTTGAAGAAAAACAAAATAGAAGAATGGGCCATATGATGGTACATTAATCCTCTTAAACACATCCCACATGTTTGTACACAATGTACATTGTACGCAGTCACTATATCATATGCAAAAGAAATCACTGAAATTACAGTATCTGTTACAAACGAAAGACGTACATGTATTATAAGTAGGAATATTGATTTTGTGAGATGATACTTACAATGTTGACAAAACTCGGGATTGACGATTCCTTGATTGACTAATCCCTCTTTGGCTTCACCTGGCAATTCAAATTGAGATATACATTATATTATGAATAAATGTTGCATTAAATTACAAGTAGTCAATAATACTTGTTTTAATATTTAAAAATTTACTTGCAGTGAACTAAATTACAATACAGGTTTTATTTAAAAGCTGGGGATGAACAGACAAAAATAACAACAACAACAACCAGACAAGGAAGGGAAGAAGAAGTAGTAGAAGAAGAAGAAGAAGAAGAAGAAGAAGAAGAAGAAGAAGAAGAAGAAGAAGAAGAAGAAGAAGAAGAAGAAGAAGAAGAAGAAGAAGAAGAAGAAGAAGAAGAAGAAGAGGAAGAAGAGGAAGAAGAAGAAGAAGAAAAAAGAAGAAGAAGAAGAAGAAAAAGAAGAAGAAGAAGAAGAAGAAGAAGAAGAAGAAGAAGAAGAAGAAGAAGAAGAAGAAACAGGAGAAGAAGTAGAAGAAGAAGGAAAGGAAGGAAAGAAGAAGTAAAAAAAAGAGGTAAAAAAGAAGGAAGAGAAAAAGGAGAAGAAGAAAGAAGAAAGAGAAAAGAAGAAGAAGATGATGAAATAAAATAGTGCTTTTAGTCCAAAAGCACTGTGTTACATAATTATCATTATCATCATTATCAACATCATCATCACTATTAGAATTGTTTACAGCACTGGCGACAATATCAGAAAGAGTGGCTGGATTACATAAGAGAACTCAGAAAATCCCTGTATAACTAGGCACAGTAAAATCATGATTCCCCAGTACATGCAGAACCAAGTAAAACCTTTTTATTAGTTCTAAAAAAGAACACAATACCGAGAATCACACCTGAACAAAGTATGATTAATTATTAAAGTTGGTCAGGTTTTATGATGTTAGAATATGTCAGATTTGCAATTATGTACATGTACAGCAGTAGGTAAACAGACATGGAGTTAGTATTATCACAACCAATGTCACTGGTTAATTTACGATTTTCATTAATTGCTCATTTACACTTGGTAGACGTGTCTTTGCTCTCTGTTTAGCTAGCTAATTAATTACATGTGATGTACCGTAATATTGGTTCTTGACAAACATCATTAGGAACAGATCATGCAAACAAAGCACTACAGACAGTGATGTGGGTGACTGTATAATACTTCCTTGTTCCTCTATCCAGGCTAGAGCTGGGATGATTCTCAACTGTCACTTTTTTTTTTAATTGTTGATATTCTGAACCTCTATCTTTTGTTTTATCTGAGGGTGCGTTTATTGTGTCTGCCACTAGATACATTGTATGTACATATCGAACCCCACTATCGAACCCCACTATACGAACGTGATTTGCGGGATGTCGCGTTTATCATCAAGATAAAGGCCTTGTCTCTGTGCAGCTGCTTTGCGCTGTTTGACCCGGGAAGCAGACAGTTTCTCGGAGGTCAACTAGATGGACGAACCGGAAATTAGCCTGGGAAGGTCCGTTTTCTATGTGGGGTTCAAAACAGCTTTGCGTTTATCATGTCTCAGAAACGTGATTCTGGCTGTACAGGTATGTCACATTCAAAACGCACTTTTTTTTGGCGTTACATTATGCCCATATCTAAAGACATTTGAAAAATGCTTTGTGTTTACAGGGTGTACATACATCTATCACCTTAAAAATTTGCCTGAAAGACGTTTGAGAAACCTGATTCTAGGCAAGAAATTGGTCAATAAACGCTCCCTTATTATCTTACATCTTGAGTCTGGAGCCGAGTCTCAGGAGGCTTTGCAGTGTGACACAATTTCATATCTTTATTTCTTACACATGAGGAATTTAAAATACATATCATATACTGCACATGTACAGCACAGTGTATAGGCCTATTAACCTATAATACACATGATTCGTACCATGTTTCTTGAATATGTTTCTAAAGTCTTGAATATGTTTCTAAAGTCAGAATAAATATTAAAAAACAGAGGAGCCTATACAATATTTCTCAAGCAAAATTTGCAAAGGAAATGGATTTCAATATCAGATTTCAATATTCCTGGATATCATGATAAATAAAGACCATTCAGTTCCTGTTTTTGAATGCATTTCATACCTGTACATGTACATGTACATGTATCAAGTTAAAGGTAAAGACCAGTATTGGATACGCCCCAATTTCAAAAAATGAAATGGAAGCTCTCATTACCGATCATGTGAAAGAATATGTTTTTACTAATACATGATGATAAAAAATTTGCCAGGAAACCGCCTACTAATTCATATATTTGGTAAATTTGTTTCTCTCATGGTCTGTGAGAGATATAGGGTAGTCCCATATACATCTTTCTGTGTATAGTGCTTGTAACTTTACGAAGAATGGGCCAAATTTCTTATCATTTTGATGATTGCAGAACCTTGCAGATGCTAGATGCTAGATGATTAACCTTTTCTGATCGATTCCACAACGTTTCTTTCACAATGCAATCGCATGACCATAACTGGTCTTTATCTTTAAAGGTTAAAGCATGGACAAACATTAGGCGTGTCTTCATCAGCTCGAGATTCGACCTCGAACCTGAAACTCGACCTTGAGAAATTAGCTCGAGATATTTTGCTCAGCGTTTGCGCATAGTGCGAGTCTTCGGGCTGGTGAAGACGTACCTGACAAATAACGGGATATTTTGCAAACTATCCCAAGATATCTTGGGATGATTATCCCGACCAAATATCCCACTAATTGCAACTTCGGGCTGATGAAGACGTGAACTAACTGGATAATTTGCGATCAGGATAGTTGAAATAGCGGGATATTTGGCAATCTCGAGCTGATGAAAACAGGCCTAATCTATGATTCTACACTACAGCAGGGGACTTTTTTCTGATTGTTAAATAAAATGAAAGACAGAGCCCAGACAGGTACAGGTGTATGCTCTATTTTCATGGCAACTGAGTCACACTTGAGTTCACTTGCTTTCCCTAACCTGCGGAAAACACAGAAAACACTTCCTTTCTATTCTTACACTGTAGTTTGAACTTTTCAGTGCAGTAAGAGTACAGTTCTTCCTCTGAAACGACTATGAAAATGCTCTTATTATCCCCTAAAATATCATATCTTTATAGTTTCATCACATCTACAATGATCTACAATGTATTTTGCAGTAGAGGCATTTACTGCAGCAACAAAACATGTACAATGTATACTATCAAACCTGCTTTAAAGACCTCCCCTGCCCGATAAGCTTACATTTTAAACAGTACATACAGCATGTACAGTACATCATAACTGAAAATGAAAATCATGTTTTCCTTTACATGTTCATGTACATGTAAATACCTCAAAGACTACATGTACATCAGCAGAAATGTATCAAAATAGAACAAAATTTATGATGCAAAAGCTGGACATACAAGTTTAAAAAAATAAATAAATAAATCAGATGCCTGCAATTACCGGTAGTCCAGAACCTGGCCAGTTTTTCTAAATACATGTATACACAATGTACATACATGTAGTAGTGTGTATATTTTGCAATCTCTCATCCTCTACCTGCTACTAGCCGAGGATTGCATGACCCACACATTTTTGCAACCAGCCTGAAAACCATGTGTACGAATTTGGGGCAACACCATTTTGGGCTTGTGACAGGTAGGGAGATTCTTTTATACTAAACTCGGGCCTCGGGATTGCTCTCAGAATAAAAAATTCTAGACTAGCTAGAAATGGGAAGTGGAGCATGAAAACAGATATTGAAAGACTTTTTGTCACTATTTTTATATTCACTAATACATGTTCCAACTGCTCTTTTGAATAAAGTACAAGCAAGTGTACTCGTGTGCAAATAACTTGTGTGGCTTCTAAAAATGATGCAAGCTTGCAGGGGGAAATCCCTTTTAATAGGATGTAGACATCTAGTACACACATGTACAGTGTACATGTACATGATAAATATAACTCAACTAACACCTTTCATATTGTCATCAAGGAAACGAATGTGTATCTTCCAACCTTTGAATTAGTGTACATGTAGGTACATGTTGTTCAAATTGGGATGATGTTACAAGTGAACTACAATAAACAATAAACCACAAGGAAGAAGGAACCAGATCCATTCATCATGTACATCTCGACCAAACTCACAACATACATGTATGTACAAAAATAGGGATAGCCTTTCATATTTCCCTGTACTATATATACATAGTTTGTAAACAAAATTGATAGAGATGGAATTTTATTTGGCTAAGTGGTAAAACTTCTCTCTGATCACATCCTACATGTACATGTACATGTAGATTCTGTCATGTTCAGTGACTAGGCGGTGTCAGACAGAGGCCAAATATCTAGAAAATACCTTTCTACATCATTCGCTGTCTGTCATCAATTATCCCGCAAACAATCCAGTGAAAAACCCTGTGAAAAATTCTCCCTTAATTTTATCAAAAAGTTTCACAGGATGTTTCTGTCTGTCACCTACGTTTAAGTGAGTTATCTAGATAGCTATTATTCAGGTAATTCAAGATCTGGTCTGCAGGCTGAGATGTACAGTATAATGAGGAGCTATCCCATACATGTATGGGCTTTTCAAGTTTACAACACAGATGCACCGCATCTCAGCCATGTACAACTTCATCGTCGAAAGGGTTCATGACAAAAAGACATATTCATCTAGCATTATTTTCTTCCATTGGAGCGACAAAGGCATTATCTCATATACTTGAACACAACCCTGTAAGTTGGGGCTTGGATCAGATTGGATGATCAGAGCTTTGAAATTGATAATATAGTCTAAGAATAGAGGCAAAACATGGACAAAAAATGTGTGCCTACATTATAATCCAAGATGACGGCTCGCATGTTTTGCATCTTCTCTTAAAATTTAGACCAATATTATTAATTTCAAAGTCATGAAAAGGCAATAAATATCAACAAACATGGTCTACAACAAATCCAAATGACAAAATAATTCCAGCTATGCATGTTTTGTAAGCATTTGATAGCCCAAAAGCCAAAACTTGGACAATTTTGGCATTAAAAAAAAGAAAAAAAAAGAAATCTGCTGATATTTTTTCCCGATCATTTTTATTGATCGGCAATCAGAATTTATTATCCGATTTCACCTGATCAGCCAACGATCAGCCCCTGATCCGACGGTTACAGGGTTATTTGAACACTGATTAAATGCCCTTGTGACCTTGCACAGATGATTTAATTAAAGCAAGTTTACATACATGTACATATAGTTCATCCCATTAGCCCTTGATGCCGCTAGAATGCTAGAACAGGGTCTGACATGGGAAGTTGGGAACATACTTTGCTGGTACACAAAGTTCATACAAATATGCAAAGAAGTAAATTTTTTCACACTCAATAACATAATTCCTATGCACTTTCCCTACGTTAATGTAAAATACAAAGTTGTCTTATCCCAGTATTTCTTTTTCTGCTAATAACTACATGTACATGTACCATAGTCCTTATCAATATCAGTCACATTTCTTGCTGAAACCCTTGAATATAAACTATTCAAGCTCTAAGGGCAAGATGTGATGTCGTAGGCACGGATGGTGGGATAATCAACAACAAAAATGTTTGTACATTTAATTTGAAGTCTACAGTGTACATGTCAAAATGTATTTTCCAACTGGAAGTATAGTACGAATAATAGTACATGTAGGAATGTACACGTGTACTACATTTTCAGGTGTGTACAATATATGTCAAAATCTGAGTTCAACATGAGATGCATAAAGACTCGGTCAGATATGATGTGGTAAACCTGAGAGGCTTTTTACAGTGATGAGTTATACACTTCACATTTATAATCAATAGAGCTCATTGAATATGAAGACCATTGCTGCGGCGAGTTGCCAACATGCCACTCATTTACACGTCTAAATAAAAAGGGGGGCTTTTTTGGCATGGTTAACCCCATCATATGTAAACAAGCCTTGAGGATGTGAATGGTCCGACTACTCACCTCCAGACGCTCCAGTCCCATCAGCAGGTACTTCATGTGCGGGTGGCGGGGGCTTGAGACCAGATACCACTTCATAGTTCCTTGCTCCACCAATTTTGGGTTTCCTCTCATACAGACTAACATACGTTCCAGGAAAACTGCCTTTCTCTTGAGTCCTTTCATTCTTTCCTTCCAACCAACTCTCCGGCTTCTCCACCGTACCCTTGAAGTAAGGCAACCTCTCGGGGTTCTCCACCACCAACACATCTCCAGTCTTCATGATGATGTCCTGATCCGACGTGGGTTCATAGTCGTGCAAAGCACGGTATTTCACTATTTCTCCCATTTTGAGAGATTATTATTACATGTACCTCAAAACACAGAATACACACTACACAAGATCATCTGGTGCATGTAATTAACATGTATAGGTCCATAAAGTTCAGTATCATAACATCCAATTCAGCATAGGTGGCCAAGGTCGAATAATGCAGGCAGTACTGATGTCAACTACACCTACAGTTCACCTACAGTAAATTAAAAAAGAGAAATGATGTGATAAGAAATCTGAAGTAAATTTGCTTTCTAAATCTACTCATGAAATATTAAATTACGGTACATGGATATTAAGATAAATGTACACATGCAAAGCATAAAGTGTACATTATTTATAGTCCATAATAATAAGAAAAAAACACCAATGGGGTTATGAGGATTCAAATCCTTGCAGTATGTTGCTTGAGGTTGATAACCATATTTCTATGCATTTTCTTTCAATCACACAACTCCCGATCTCCCTCCATCTTAGGATTTTAGAAAAATAAAACATTACAAAACTACTGGAAAGAATTTACCAGGTACCATGCACTAGACTCTAGACCTCTACCATCCATATGAATTTCTTGTGAATTGGTTTAAAACTTTAAATTTTTAAAAGAAAATAATATTAGTGCAATAAAAACAAAATGTGACCTGACCTTTAAGTATCAGAAGAAAATTTGATAAGAAAATTTAAAATCAAGATGTTCTTATTCATTGTCAACATCAAATGCCTTGACATTGTCTCACAATGTCTTTCAATGGATTCCTATTTTTAGAAAATATCCTGTAAAGTCTTGTCCCCTAAGTTTTCAATAAGTCTTTACTTGGTTGTTGTACATTGTGGCCCGAGTGACACAGAGATGCCAAGTTCAAAGATCAGCTATGCGTGACATTTTCATGACTCGGCGCGCAAGCGCGCAGGCGAGGGTATAGTATGCATGACACGACGTGATAGCTGGCCTGCATGGGATACATACGTACACGAGGCCTGCGACGAGCTACATGTAGCTGAGGCCTCGAGGCTCGAGGCAGTCGGCTAATACGTAGTCTACCAATTACTGCACCAATGCATGACAATAATGGTTGCCATGCGTGACAGTGTTTTCAGACCCTCGATGCGTGCGTGACACTTGGTAGCTCTGCTGACATTAAATTTGAGATCATAACATTTCCTGCAACTTTTTTGTAGCAAAACATGAATATCCTTTAACCTTTGATTGAATGATTTTATCAGAAAATATCACCTTTTTAATCATGAGGTGAAAAAGTTGCATATTTAAATGGCCATGGCATGGCATGGCATTGGAAAGTTGGAGAAGTTTCATGTTTCATCTAGTTTTCAGGTTATCCAGGGTTACAATGATTCAGGTTATCCAGGGTTACAATGATTCAGTTTACTCCCAGTCAAATGTGATGTCATAGATCTATACTAAATAATAAAAGCAGACAAATATTTTTTCATTTTCTATTTTTTAAAGTGAGCTGAGAACTAAAACATTACAATTTTGAGTTTTACAAGTTACAACAAAGTCAAGGAAGAAGAGAAATCTGAAAATAAAATATTGAGTCTTACGTACGTGTGAAAGTTAATCAGAATTGGAGCGGATCAATGTCACTGATAATACACCCAGATCAGTGATTGTTAACTTGGTCTGGCTTGTGAATTCCGTTGACAGATTGATTGAGTGCAATCTCAACGCCCTGCACCAACACGCAGTTCTCCTGCTAATTAACCGGGAGAGTAGCCGCTGCGCTACAGACCGGTGCGATGAGGGTTCCCTTCTTGTCGTAAACGTACGAGACGTGACGTATCTGTTCCACTAGTTCATCAATTGACAACCCCTTGACTGTTCCGGCATTTTGCAAAGCGAAGTTCAGAATTTTCGAATCACGGAATCTTGTTCCTTTCGTCGATCTTACAAGAGGAAATAATACATACTTTAACATGTCCAGCCTCCAGCTCCAGTCCAGGAAGCAAAATGGTACAACCAGGAAGCAGAAAGGCAGATCGACGAGCTAGTGCGAAAGGTCATTTGACAAGCGCCATCTACCGCTGTAAGACAGATCAATGTGCAATGATTACTTTCTTGTCTTCATATGTCATATATCATAATTTATATTTTGTGTTGATCCTTAAAGGATGGATGTCAATGTAAATTAAGGATTGTTGAAACTAATTTATACCATCCTTAACGGACTAATGATAAACTCTCTGTCCTCATAACTTATATCCATCAATAGCTAGAGAGAGAGAGAGAGAGAGGGGGGGGGGGGGGAGGGAGAGAGACAGACAGACATTATATCAGACAGACAGAGAGATCGAAAGATTGAGAAAGTGTTGGAAGGGAGTGGAAATATAAGGTGGGCCACCTTTAGCCATAGGTAAGCTACCGGTAAGCAGAACAACAAAAGCTTAGATATAAGGCAAGAGAAAGGGCAAAAAATTCATAGAGATGGGAGATAATTTCTTTTAATAAAAAAAGTGGTATTGAATTGATGTTCTTCTTGTGACTCCCTTTCTCGCTCTCTCTCTCTCTCTCTCTCTCTTTCTCTGTATCTCCCTCCATCATCTCCTCTTGCTCTTTCTCTCTTGATTTCTCTTCCATCTTCACTTCATCTTCCTTTTTTTTTTAGTCTCCGTCTTTCCCCAACTATATTCCGGTTTTTAGGCATCACAAAAAAATCATACTTTGAAAGACAACTATTTCAAATTAAGAAGGCATAGCAATACATATATTTATAAAGTATTTATTGATACATAACATGATATTTACAATCATCAATCAAAATCAAGTGATTGGAAAATACATAGTACAAATACAATGATGAAAACACAAACAAAAAAAGTAAAACAGACAGAAACTCAGAAAACATGCCCCAATACTAAATAATTCAAAATGGCTATCGTCTGTTGACTAACAGCTGGAAGCGAATTAACTCTGTGTTATGAGTTAACAGCTCCAAATATGAAAGTATAATAACTTAACCTGTGTCATCCAATATTTTGACCCCTTATTTATTTTTCTTTAAATGACCTGATAAATCTGTTTACATTTTGGTGAAAATCATCTATTGGTCAGGAACTGATAAGCTCAAAAACATCCTCTCTCTAAGTTAGACACTACTCGTCAATGGACTATGCTAGACTAATACCCCTTTAAACTGTAATATGAAATACATAGAACCGAACATTGCAAAACAGAAGAAGATTGAAGGAATGGTCACCTGTGGAAGAATTATTTTGATATCCTATGATATGCACTGTAGAAAAGGAAATATCATCCACTATTTGCGTATTGTTTGACGTTTTTCATCTGTTTTTATCTTTTTTAATTATTGTGCTGTGATTTTATGATTATTGTTATCATGATGCATGTACGAATTACTTGATTAATACACGTTTTTAAAGATTTAAAAAATAAATATATCCCTCAAAACTAATGCTATATCCTGACATACATGTATTCTCTTTATCTTCATACATATATCATTGTAATATATCATCGTAATAGCAGATAGTGTGCAAGGCTTTGTCATAATCCAGTAAATCTTTGTAAAGAATGAAATAGACACCATGTGTGGTTTCAAATTGAAGCCTCCATAATATAACACAATTCCACTAAATATTTGTAATACGTGTTGCCCCTTTCTTTGAAGTTCAAAAGCAATTTCCTATTTGTTTCATAAAGTATGCTATTTAACAATAATACCCTTCAAACAGATCGGTCTCTAATGAAATGTAAAGGCGTTCTTGACTAGAGTGGTGTTATTGCTACATGATCACAGACTTCACTATGCTGTATACTTCTAAAATCTATAAAATGCCTGAGTCTACATGTACATACAAAGGCAAGGATATCGCTACAAGAGATAAATCTATCCGAAAGATATGAGATATTTGAGAGACATTTTATATATCCTTAAAATATGTTACCAATTCATTCCCAGTTTGTTTACTTAATCTAAAATTTTCCTTGCCTCTGACTGTAGAATTCAACAAGAACTTCCTTGAAGTAGCAGGACATTTTGATTAAGTAAAACATGAACAATGCCAAAGAAGGTAAAAAATGTAGCTCGTCTAGATATGATCCCTTTTAAATCACTTGATTGATGAAAGAGTTTGGGGCTCTATTCAAAAGAAGAAAAGATGTCAATATCAAATTTCTTAGAATCAATACAAAAAAAGAACCTTCACAACAATAATTGCAATCGTTCAATGTTCACAGCAAATAAAGAAAGTTTTAAATGTAATTTACATAACAATTCAATTATTTTTGTGGTTAAAATAAATGTCTGTGAGGAGAAAGTACAAACCGGTACAATAAACAGATGTGTATGATGTACTGTACAGCATGGCATTATACATTATGGAATAATTTATACACTATGTGCAATAAATGGAACACACAAAAAATCCCTTGGAACAATGAAATATTTTGATATCATATTTTCTTTAAATCTGGATGATCTCATTTATATTGAAGAAAAAAGAATTGATGTCAGTAAATAATAATCGTTCTCTTGCATTCCTTCACTATCATCACTCATTTATATTGAAGGAACAAGAATTGATGTCAGTAAATAATAATCGTTCTCTTGCCTTCCTTCACTATCATCACTCGTTTTGTTGTTCTGAGTATTACATGAACCTTCCAAGCAAATCGGAGGAAAGAAACACACAAATATTAACCTGAATGAGGCAATTATGCTTTCGTGTTTTATGCTACATTTTTGTTATATCATGTATCTACATTGTACATGCACATCTAGATGTTGACATGATGCTGTAAAAGATCACATAGCTTCAGGGAGGAAGGTTAATTGAATAAAGCATAATTGACTTCACTTTAATATATTAGCCACATTGTGATGGCAGCATTTTGATTAACTTGACAGGTAATATGAATGAAAGGTTTTACACACCTGACAGACATCCTGCATCAGGATATGCAGAAAACTACTGCACGATGAATTAAAGGCTCTTTCAGATATGGTTAAGTAAAACCTGCCAAAAAAAACCCCCCAAAATGGCAACTGCACACAACAATTGTACTTTGCACGTCATCATAAAAAGAGTTCTGGTTTACCCCATCATATCTGAAAGAAACCTATTAGGATAATCAATTCATACATGCTCCTCATCAACAGTGAGATAACAGGGGGTGTTTCACAAACATCCTAAGTTAAACTTATCTCTAAGTTGGACTTAACAATATTATGGAAAGCTGTTAGCGTCCATGAAAATATTTTGTAAAAGTTATTTTCAAAGGCATAAAATGTTGATTCAAATCATTCATATTTTCTGTTATCGAGGAGATTTCATGTTCTTCATTTGGAATTTATGAAAAGTCTAAAAAACTTGAATTTGCTCTTTTGAATATATTTTATTTTAGACTACTAATGGCTCTCCATAATGTTTAAGTTCAACTTAGAGCTAAGTTTGACTTAGGATCTTTGTGAAACACCCCCCCCCCCAGATCTACAGAACTTACAATACCACCCGCTGTTGAGACAGAAAGTCATTTCTATTCATATGGTCGAATCTGTAAGACGTGCGCCCTATAACACGTCTGTTATCTATTTACTTCATCCCTTTTATCCGACTAATAACTAATATATCTTTTTTGGCCCTGTAACACAAAGGTTTGCGATCCATTGCAACATTGGGGTGGCCAATCAAGATCATTGTTGCATGTACATATTGTTAACAAGACTGACTATCGACCAATCAGAATCGTTATTTTAAAATGTACCATAGAATCTACTGAGAGCCAGAAGGACATTACCTTATATGGGCAATGATGTCACACTCATTACCTTATATGGGCAGTGATGTCACACTCATTACCTTATATGGGCAATGATGTCACACTTGTCCCATGAGACACCTGTCTTTCATCCATTTATTTCATTTGAATATGAATATCTTTTGATATAACTATTAATTGATGGTTCTGTCTGATATCACCACCATATGACAAATTAAAATGTCTACATGCAGGTATACTATAGTGAAACCTGTCTATAAAGACCACCCAAGGGAGACAAGAAAAGTGGTCTTTTAAGGTAGGTGGTCTTTATGTACAGGTTCCTTTAGTATGTGTTTCAATGAGAAACCATTTTCATGGGAAACAAAAATTGTGGTCTTTGTAGACAGGTTTTTTTTATAGGTAGGTGGTCTTTATGTACAGGTTCCTTTAGTATGTGTTTCAATGAGAAACCATTTGCAAGGGACCACAAAATGTGGTCTTTGTAGACAGGAGGTCCTTCTATACAGGTGGTCACCAAAACAGGTTTGACTATACATATACGCCGAACAGGACACCTGCACAGAATCAGCCACATCCTTTGATAGAGTTGAGGTGCATTCAATCGACACTCTTTCACTACAGAATCACAGTTTTCAAAGACGCTTAGTTTAAAACACGGTTGCATTCAAGCAATTTTTTGTTGGTCGTAAAAATAAACGTGTTTAAAAACACAAACAAGAATCACTGAAAAAGATCCATTTTGTATCATGATTCTGCAGAATCACGGTCGCTAAAATTTGCTTGAACGAACAGAGATCTCAATCATGATTCTAAGACGTCATTATCAGGACCTGTTCTGGTTTGACCGACAGTCGACCGTAAACACAGACAGAAAGCATGCGCCGAAGTTGACCTATACTTCCTGGGTCAAACTGCACAGTGTGATGGGCAGTGGCTGGCCTTGAAATGAGCGAGAATCAGCATCGATGAAAAATCGCTTCAACGCTCTTCCGCAGTAACCATGTTTTTTATCGGCATTTTGATTTGTGATTCATGTTTGTGATTCTAGCTTTAAAAAAATCGCTTGAATGCACCCTTAGTGTCTTTTAGGCTCTCAGTGGTGATATACCGGTATGTGTCTTCCTTTCCGTTTTCGCTTGGATTCCCAGGAGAGAAATATTAACATATAGCACTTTTGACATCTCAAATACTGATGGGTATAAATGGAAGACATAATGAAATATTCTACATAATATATTTTACATGTAAGTTATTGTGCAAAATGTATCAATAATTGACAAACTATCACGATAATGATCTAGAGAAAAAAAAAGACTTGTCACTTCAACCCAATATTATCTTTCATCTTCAAAACAAGGGAAACGCTCTCGGCGGTCTCACCTGCATAACGCAATTCAATATGATAAACCAGAACGTCAATGACGTAGCGCTCATCCGCATCTCGCAACAACAAATATTGTAAATTTTATGTGGTACACTTATGAACTGGTCAAAAAATAAAAAATTTATGCCCTTGAAGGGACATAATTTCATTTCATTTGCATAAATTACCATAATTAATCAATGGAGCAAAATCTCAAAATTCTGTGTAGAATTTTAGTGTTCCAAATTTAGCTCTACCAGATAAGGCAAACCAAATCAAAATCGGTCAAGAAATGAGGGAGAAGAAGCAATTTTTGTTATTTTTGGAATAAGTTTGCGTAACTTACCATAATTAATCAATGGAGCAAAATTTCAAAATTCTGTGTAGAAGTTTAGTGTTCCAAATTTAGCTCTACCAGATAAGGCAAACCAAATCAAAATCGGTCAAGAAATGAAGGAGAAGAAGCATTTTTTGTGATTTCGAATAAATTTGCATAAATTAGCATAGATAATGAATTTCACGATTCTGTGTAGAAGTTTTAAATCCCCCTCCTAGCCCTATCATATGAAACAATCATAATCAAAATCGGTTGAAAAATAACGAAGAAGAAGCATTTTGAAAATCTTGATGTTGATGCCACAACAAAGTCTGTTTGTTAACCCTAAATGACCTTTGACCTTAACTTAGTGCCCTGAAATTCTACTCACATGATTGGGGAGACTTGATAACCCTATAGTCCAAGTTTCGTTGACTAAGAACTTATACTTTCAAAATTATATCAAAAATTCAAAAACTTAACCTTAGGTTAAGTTTTCGATGAATGATGCTACAACATAGTCCAAGTCTGTTGACCTGAAATGACCTTTGACCTTAACTTTGTGATCTGAAATTCTACTCACATGATTGGGGATACTTGGTTACCCTATAGTCAAAGTTTCATTGACCAAGAACTTATACTTTAAAAATTATATCAAAAATTCAAAAACTTAATCTTAGGTTAAGTTTTTGATGTTGACACCGCCGTCACCGGAAAAGCGGCGCCTATGTCTCGCTTTTTGCTACGCAGACGAGTCAAAAATTGCATAAGCATATCAAACGATTAACATGCAGTTTCAATTAAAATATATTTCTGTCTATGTGCGTAGGAAAGAGGGGAAAGCATAATAGTTGAGGTTGAATTTCTAATATAATAGTTTTCATCATCTCCTTTGCCAGTCCAGCAAATGGTCTATCTATCTATCTCAGGTAATACATATTACATACATCAATATACATAGGACTTTTAATGGAATACAGATCCTACGTCAGTATGTTTTGCACTTGGACACATTTTTAATGCACATAATTCATAATTCACTGTACTTACAGAAATTCCACTATTTATAAAATATAAGTATTTATACAGCATTTTAATATATACATTATATACCCTATTTGTAAATGTACTACACTAAAGGACTATTGTATGTACTACACTATATGACTCTTGTATGTACTACACTTAATGACTGTTGTATCTTATCCTCTTATTCAATCCCTTTTGCCCCGAGGCCTCATTCAGACAAGATAAAGTAAACCACATTAGAAATATTGAATGACGTAAGCATAGTATGCATAAGAACATGTTTACTTGTGACATACACATATCGAAATGAAAATATCATAAATCAAAAAGTGTGCATAAGTCTTTGTTGTGTGGTCTTTTCAATCAAATTTCTCCTCTTTTTCCTACTCACACCTGCCATTTATTACATCTGGGCCACGTATTACATGCCTTTTGGTTGATCATAAGGTTAATATCTAGCATAAGTCTATGGCTCATTCTGTATGGATCAAACTTAAAGGTAATACAAAGTTTTGGTATGGGGTCATGACTTTTGTTTTAAATGAACATATTGGAAGCATATGCGATCCTAAAATATTCAGTGATCGTTGTCGCGGTTGAAATCGAGTCTAAAGTTATGAAATTGTAAATAATAAACTCTTTATGTCGTATAGCTCCCGCTCAAGTTCAATATATTAATTAAGCTATAAAACAATGTTTCTTGACTAAATTCGACCGATTAGCTATTCCCGTTTGGGAATTATATATCACAAAGTACATATTCTGAGATTTCCATGTTCGCAGCAACCATTGTACGGCCGTAGGCGCTATTTATAATTAATACAAAAATTTCACTAGAGCAGAAGTGTTTTAGGGAAAATTTTTTTTAGAGCTTATATAAAAACATCCACAGGGGCATCTAAATATATCAAAATTGTAAAGAATCACTATCCACCCAATTTTCAAAATTTCCCAAAACTTTGTATTACCTTTAAGATCAATCATACTGGGTAACTCTTTTTAATACGCGGCCCTAAAATGTCTTTCATTTTACTGCAACAGTATTTATGAGGCAGTTTACCAGGGGCGCGTTTCACAACACTTGTCATCTGTGACAAATGCCAATTTGCGTTATAAGCTACTGAAATCCTTGCTTCTGATTGGATATCAGCAGAGTTGTCACTGATTTTTTTTTTTGTCATTGAAAAAAGGCTTTGTGAAATGCCCCCCAGATCATGTCCGAACAGGGTTTAACTTCTACTTATATTACACAAATAATACATGCAAATGAGTTCATTATATGATCTAACTGCACTCGAGTTGAGGCTGTAAAAATATGCATTAAAGGGAACCAAAACCTTCATACTAAGTTACTTTTATTGTAAAGTTTAAGATATTTGAATAAAATCAGTGAAAATTTGAACAAAATCGGGCTAGGAATAAGGAAGTTAAAGCTTTTTTAAATGACTAGTCACTAGAGGGCGATATTCAATTTGATGCATCATTTGTGGACGAAGGTTTTGGTTCCCTTTAAATCCTGGATCCCTGTTATTTGATTAAAAAAGAATTCACTTCAAGCACTCAAATGACACCATCTTAAATACGTTTATGTATCCCACCTATCTCACCCGGTCAGTAGGCATTCAATTGTTTTCACCAGAAACACACCCCTTAAGCATCCACCTCCAATCTTATTTTGGAAGAAATTACATTGCATAAGAAAATCTAATCATGAAAAATTTCCCAATCAAGAGTTTGATAAAATGAAACAAAACTGCTCACCGTACTACCCTTAATAAGAGGAAAGGCCACAAAGGCTGAATTGGCTCCAAAATTTGATGACATCAGACCAGTCATATCACTTCCTTGGATTTATGTGGGCTTTTTCAACTAGAAGGCTTTGCAGTACCCTGCCATTTTGATTTTACTATTCATATAAATATTCTCAGGAAGATTTTACCTGTTTAGATTTTCAAGATTCAAGATTATTTTTGGAATGAATACCATTGTCATTTCTTCCAATGTGAGATTGCATACTGTTGGTGGGCTTTACTGTCAGAGAATGCAGAAATAAAAATACAATAAAAAGAGAAATACGACTAATGCATAGATGATTTTCTTACCTTTGGAAAAGGTTACTGTCACTGTCTATTTAAACGTGACTGTGACATTAAAGCCCCTCTAAAGTGTTGGGAGCCCCCCAAATTTGATGGCAAAATTTCACTTAAATTGTATCATAAGGTGAAAGAGGATGTCATTTAAGACACATTCCTGCAAGGATTTTCAAAACAAATGTGTTTGAAGCTGAATATTGATGAAAGAAAACAAAATTCAGGATTTCTGCATACAACAAAAAACCCAAATTATGTTTACTTTTATCAATTTATTTGTCTTCAAACACTTTTGGGGGGAGAAAATCTTTGCAGAAGTGTGTCTTAAATAAACATCCTCTTTCACATTATGATACAATTTAAGTGAAATTTTGCCATCAAATTGTTGGCGAATTTGGGGCTCCCAACACTTTAGAGGTGCTTTAATTGTATCTAATTGACAATTTAAAATGAAGTATTGCTATTTCAGTTTACATGTTCATATAAGAATATCCCTTCCTCCATTTCTCGATTACTTTTGAATATATATCATGTTCATATTAAAGTAAATGTGAACTAGACATGATCCAATGCACATCTTCCCACTTCCATGTCGGTGAAGACCTCGTTTTAATGCTGATCCGGTGACAGTTCTCCAAAGCGTTTTTTCTTCTTCTGCAGAGTTAATAAGATACAACCTACACTCTATGATCTCACATCATCTGCTGAAATTCATCCATTGCACTTTGGTCCGATGCTGCTTCACCATGTCGAAGAAGTCTGTAGAGGGGAAGAACAGAAATAATTTCTATGTCACTGTAAGGCACTATCTATTATTATCTATATAAGGCTTTCAAGTGGTACAATAAATCAGTGTATTTAGCACAGTACCCGGATGACCGACCAATATTGTTTTCGTATTGCTCAGTCATCCGGGAACTTCAGCTATTGATATCAATACCATATCGATATCACACAAAAACAGAGCCATATTTAATACCGAGTTAAGTCAAATTTTGTTATTTCGAAAATTTAATTTAATTATAATGATATAGTTGGGAGAATTTAGGAATTGATCAGATCAGTTTTTCCCAATTGTTATCATTATCAAAAAATAGGTCTGTTTTCACTCAAAATTTCAGATTATCTTTAATTGTACATCTAGCATTGAAGTCACTACCTTAGCACCATTTTCTCTCATCTGAACAATCTGTCCAAGTCCCTTTAATAATATCATGAATAACCGTTAATGATTACCTTTCTCTCCTTCTCGTCCTTTGCCATCTGAACCATCTAAGGAATCCTATGCTTATGATGATGCCTGCTATAAGGATGGCTCCAGCAAGTAATAAACCCATTGCCATGTTCGTGATGCCAATCCTGCTATGTAAAGGGGTGTTTACTGTGGGTTTGTCGTCTGTTATATCAGGGACCGATGGAGAGTTGGAAGGGGTCTCTATCGAGCATACACTTGTATCACCTGATGGAGGAAATATAGATAACAAAATCATTCTATATTTATACAGTCAAACCCACTTTAGTGACCACCTGTCTACAAAGACCACATATTTGTTTCCTTGAAAATGGTTTCTCATTGAAACATGTACAAAAGGAACCTGTACATAAAGACCACCTGCCTATAAAGACAACTTTTCTTGTCTCCCTTGGTGGTCTTTAAAGACAGGTTTCAATGTACATGTACAGTATATGTACAAAGAATCTTTGTAGTGTGAGTAATATGAGTATATATTTGACTGCACTATTACCACAAGACATTCTCTTTGATACAATTGCATTATGAATCCTAATCAAATAATTGGTTCATAGCTGATGTTATACAACAACATTATAATTATTTCTAAAAATATGATACATATTGATACCGCTAATTTCCACTACCATCACTATCTTAAACCTGTGCACATGCTATGTACATATAGTTGCAACATTAACATGTATTACAGACATTACAGTTCTATTATAGACCTGACTTTACTGAAGCTGTAAATATGTGAATATGTACAATACATACATGTAGATATACACTGTACTGTATTAAAGTACAATGGCATTATTACTTTACCCCCTTTCAACACAAAAGCATAAACAGGTGTGGAGTCAACATGTTTGTTATGTCACACTTCCATTTTCAATAATTTTCTGTAATCCATATATCTTGATCATTATTTCATTGGCTCTGATCCTACTCCATCGGCTGCTATGCAGAGGACTTTCCAATCATCAAGGACAGCAACATAAGGCTTTCTGGATTAAGCTAATCTCCACAGTGACTCATCACTTAGCTAAGGATAAAGATTAATAGGACAATCAACTCAACTAATACTACATGTATGTACTGTACACAAACCACATGCATTCATGATGAGAGCGAGGCATTACAAATCATCATTCATGTAACAGCTGTATAGATTGTATAGTCTCCAAACACCATGTTTCAAAATTTAATAATGACTAAGTGGCAAGTGCTAATTACTTTTTAACAACATACACCTGTAATCAAGTGCATTGGGTGGTAATGAGTTGTTTGTGTTTGTGAGGTTTATTGCTATTAAAGCATGAGCTGCTTTATCTCTAACCTTTTCCCCTTAGAGGTGCCTGGATCAATATCAGAGGTCTGCACGCACCAAGACCTTGTTTACATTTTCACATTCTGAGGGGGTTGAGGGTGAAATTGGGGTCTGTAAGTACCAGACTATTATGTTAAGCCCTGTTATTAATTAATTTGTCTAATATTAATATGTGGGACCTTCACAGCCACTTGTGTACGAGTATCATTCATGGGAAGCCAAGGACAGGCTGTGGCTTTACCACCTTTCAGATCTGTGTTTCCTGTGGGAAATGTGTGTGTATGTGTGTCTGAGCATGTGGTGTGATTTCTATCACTACCAAGCCTTTCATTAAAGGGAAAGTCCACCCTTATAGAAGCAGAAAAATGAGAGAAACAGGTCAGCGAAAGTTTGGGCAAAAAAACGATTAAATTCACAAATAAGAAAGTTATGAATTTTGGAAGAAAATGTAAGTTTATGAAGTTTTCTTTATAAGCAAACTGGAGTGTAGCTCGTAAGATACATCATAGTGTTGACAATTTGTATTTCACCGATGACATCTTCCAAAATTCATAACTTTCCTATTTTTAATCGGATATCGCTCAAACTACATGTATCACCACTTTGTTTCTCTCATTTTTCTGCTCTTATCAAAACCAACTTAATATCAGCCCTTTTCAGGTGCTTGAGGATGCCCTCCTCACTAATGGGGGGGGGGGGATGATAAAGGCCCCAACAACAAGCCATGAGGCATGTTACAGTGAAACCTCTAAAAAGACCACCCAAGGGAGACGAGAAAAGTGATCTTTATAGGCAGGTAGTCTTTATGTACAGGTTCGTTTTTTACATGTTTCAATTAGAAAATATTTTCAAGGGAAACAAGAAATGTGGTCTTTGTAGACAGTGGTCACTAAAGCAGGTTTGACTGTAACAGCAAACTATAATTCAGAGAATCACATGTGTGCAGTATTCAGCACACTGAGGTTTGGTGAGATGACAGGCTTGACAGCAGCCACATAAATCATCTTGTTTGAATGATCGGATAGGACGTTAAACGGAGGCCCAGTGTAGAGGAGAGTCAGGACCTATGCGCGTTAAGAACCCACTGCACTATTTGTATAAGAGTAGGGGAAACCCCGGTGTAGTGTTCCACCTGCACACCCCCAATCAGTTATACAGGGAGGAGAGACCTGAGAGTTACAGTGATTCAATTCGCTTTTTGCCCAAAAGCGCCAAATACTTAATAATAATAATAATGATTTACCTTTTCTATAATGTGCTTCCCCTGAGCTGGCTAGCTGGCCTTGTGGAGAAAGACATGTCACCCATACAGACAGATCATTATCTCCTAAGACCACGGTCAACAGATCATCAGAAGGAAGATTCGACTGCTTTTGAACCTGACCTTTGACCTCTTGGTGAAGAACACATTTGGTGGAAGTGTATCGGAATGTGGGCTGCCATCTGACAGATGCATAATCTACCATCAGCTCTGGTCTCCAGATACAAACGTTTATATCTGTAAAAATGTCAACGTTAGAAAATAACAGTCGGTGTAGTTGTGTCTTTACCCGTTGTCAAGGAGAAACATAGCACCAAGAAGGGCGCTGATTTGAAAGTTCATATCAACACAAGTTGATGTTTGATGAATATTTTACCTGACTGCTAAGAAAGCATTTTGTTCAGTTCAGTTCAGTTTGTTTCATTATCATATTCATTTATTTATTTATTTAAAATGGTTGATTTCATTAAAAAACATTCGCGGCCCGAGAGCCGAATTGCAGTTTCTTTTACAAAGTATACATCAGTGACAAAGTAAAATTACATGTAAAACATATGCATGGTAACATTATGGTAGTAAAATTGCAGATCGCAGCCTCAGCTGAATTACATGACAATTTACATTCAATTTAAAAATAACATTATATTTCATAATACAATGCATTTATATAAAACAAGGTACATGTATATACAAAATTATTATTAGTCAATCTAAGAAAAATCAATTACATGTGTACGCTTATAAGGAAGCAACCAGGAGACAGGCGTCTTTAAGTTTAAGTCCTCTCCGAGAGACTTGGTTATGAGGATTAATGCCTTACCCAAAGAACAAAAGAGCATTGACCTAGTTTTGAAGTTTGAACCCAGGACCTCCTGGTAACGAGACCACTGGTCTACCACCAATACCTACAGTACACTTCCTGTACTTGCTTTCTGTCCCTCACTCTAGTTACTTTCACATCACAGTTACAAAGAGCCTATGGAAAACTGATTAACTTTAATAGCAATTAAATTTGAGCTACTGATCATTAATCTTCAGTTAACTAGTCCATTGGGAGTGTTTCATAAAGCTGTTCGTAAAGTTACGCATGACTTTACGAATGACTTAAATATGAAAAGACAAATGGGATGCTCAATCATTTTTAACTGCATCAACTAAAGTTGAACTGTGCAGATGTAGATTAACATTCTTATCATAACAAACCTTTTTAATGCAAAGTACATTTTTTGCCATAATTTAATTGAGGTGATTGGAAATATAGTCACACTTTGTTAAAACATCAGGAAAAACTTTGGGCATCCTATCTGGCACTTCATATTCAAGTCATTCGTGAAGTCATTCGTGAATTCATGCATAACTTTACGAACAGCTTTATGAAACACCCCCCTGGTTCCCTTTATTTTCCTTACTGTATTGTAGCACACCCTAGATGGGCATTTGCTTCTCATCATAACATCAATCAATTGATTACCTGGTACTCAGGGGTGATAGTGAGCACTAAAAAAAATATAGGTTTTTTGTTTTCCCCTCAACCAAGCCCCCTTGAGTAAAAAAAAAAAAAAGAGGATTCGCGGGGGAAAAATGGCATTTAACATTCCCCCCTTTCGAGTAAGAAAATTGGGACAAAATTGGGGAAAAATAGGGCAAGATTGGGAAGAATAGAGAAAATAAGAGGGAAATCGGGAAAATCAGGATAAACTAGAGAAGAGAAAAAAAATTGGTAAAAAAAAAAAAAAAAAAATCGGGAAACCAATTTAAATCAGGTTTTTATCAGGCCTGCCGGTACTGTGCTTGCCATTCTTGATTGATAAAAATAATAGAATTTTTGTTTGACTGGTTCATTTACAAGCATTACTCCTGCATATCGAGGGTTCAGCAACACAATATTTTGCCAAAATGAGTATGTATAAAAATGTTCAGAAAAATGTGGGCTTTCCAGGAAACACAAAGACTTAACTCCAACCAACACCCCATTGAAGTCAATGGCTAGTGAAACATAGACTTAACTCCTTAAGGCCCAAGTGCTCAGTGACACAAACACCACTTTTTCTCAAAATGGCCAAAATGAAGTTACATCTTTGTGTCACTGACCCGTCTATATTACCTGTATCATCCGGAGACATCCTTCCTAGTCCGCTATCTGAGCAGATGTGCATTGAACTCACATTGTCTGTGTAATAAAACAATAAAATGACATAGACATGATCATGGAACTAATCATATAATACCTACATGTATACTGATCCTGCATACAAATATGTAATGAAAAATAACTTGAAATAAAATGAAAAATAATTTGAAATAAAATGAAAAATAACTTGAAACAAAATGAAAAATAACTTGAAATAAAATGAAAAATAAATTGAAATAAAATGAAAATTAAATTTCAAGTCAACTAAGTCAACTAAACAAAATCCTATAAAAGACCTGGCTTGAATTTCATTTTGGAGTTGCAATTGGTTACAATATTTTATTGGTATAAGTCTACAGTGTACATGTATGTCTCTCTTGCATTTCTCAAAACAAAGAATTAAGATTTAACTACAAATTTAATATTGTAATGTAAAAGAAATGCAATAACGAAAAGGAAAACAATAACTGCTTTTATCTTTTTACTGTTCTCTTTTGACTAGCATACATGTAGTCCACCCTTTCTTCAAACAAATTAATAAGACAGATGAACGATGGTATTTTCTTTGACTATTACAAAGTGATCAGAATAGTCAATAAAGATACTAATGAGAGGTACATCATGACAGAGCACAGATTATTACACAGAATATGGGGAAGGTGACAGTGGCATCAAAAGAGGTTTGATTTATTAGACCTCATCTAGCATTGCTTATTTCTCAGATTCAGCTTTGAAATACATATCTGAATGCCAAAGTACATTGAAAATCATATCAGTAACCAAGTTGGGAAACAATTTTTGGTGTAACAATTAGTTACAAATCTCTGAGTATATATATATTTAAAAAAAAATAGTTTCTGTTGTTACAATATAACTTTTAGAAAACTAGTTAGGTACTAGTTTTATCTTCTTTTAAGAGTTGTAGCTGACCTTAGTTTTCTCAAGTCAACCGTAAATCTGGATATAACACACACAAAGGTGCATTACTATCCTGGATGTGTAGTAAAAGCTGTGGTTTTGATTCTCAACATTTCAAACACCACTGTACAAAACTCAACTGATTTCACTCAAAATCGGTACTTTAGTGACAATTGAAGACACCTAAATAGCAGTAAAAATACATTTTTTTCAAATTACTGATGTTAAAAAGAATAATTTAAAAATCCAAATTGTAAGTCTAGTGTCAAATTTGCCGATCAGCCCAATCGGTCCTATTGTGTGCATTCTATGCAATATTGTGTGGTGTGCATATCTGTGTATAATATCTGCCTCACAGCAAGTATGCAGTGCTAGAGGTCAATACGCATTAGCATTGACTCTCTATGCTTTGCTGGAGTGGATATAACGTACCTGTATCTAATGTGATTTCTGGAGATGGATAACTCGAGGAGGTTGATGTGGTACACGTTGTTCTGATGGTCCATACTCCTGCACTAATATGACACTCTCGGCTGCCATGAGAAGGTAAGTTATAGTTCACTTGAGCCGGATCTTGACTGCCTTCTTGCGAGCAGATTAACTCACAGTGTGATATATTTAGGGGAGTGGTGGAAGACACAGCCCATCTCACGGTGGTTGTGTTGGTTAGTTTGTTGAAGTCTGTGCATATGTGAGTCCCTATGGAATCTAAATGACAAAGGGAGAAAATGAAAGCAGAGGAAATGAAACAGCATTAAGTTTAGTACATAAATATAAGGGCTGCGAGGAGTAGTCGAATGCTCGAGTACCCGCACGGTTGACAACTACTCGAGTATGATTTCTTGTACTCGAACATTCGGCCGCAAAAAAAAAAAAAAAAAAAAAATCCCGGTCACCTTGCACTGTCCACGCCGACGCTTACCCGTGCCAGGGAGAGCGGCGGCTGCTGGCATGGTGCCATTGGTAAAAATGTTTCCCAACTCAAGCACTGTCAAACTCGCCACTCAGAAACTTGGACCAAATGTCCGGATTTCTGTTTGGACTCAGAGGAAAATGGATTATCCTGCCATCTTTGGTTTTTAAAACAGCATTGTTTACTGTTATTATTATTATTAAATCGGCGCCTTCAACTGCAACTCAAAGTAAAATTGCATGCCTTTTCGGCGATGAACTTGGGATACTGCTCCAGTGGCACAGGTAAGCATAGGTCTGGACAGTGCCAGGTTACCGGGAATTTTTTAATTTTTTTGCGGCCGAATATTCAAGTACTCGAGCATACGACTACGCGCAGCCCTAGTGAAAATGGGTAATTAGTTAATTACGTTCACAATTACATGTATATACTTTCAACACAGGCGAAGGCATTTCAAGGAAGCCTTGGTGGTCATATTGACAATAACAATGTCACTCATCTTTCAATTTTCAGAAATCATCATTGCAATGACCATGCCATAGAAATTTAGAAATGTGTAGACCTCTACTCACTACTGTACTAGTACTACCGTGTAGGTCTAGACTAGATCTACACTTACACACAGTTCCCGACTTTAATTGTATTGTGCATCTTTCATCAATTTGACTTAGATCGAGACAAGTTTTCTGTAATAATTGGAAGAAATATCTTTAACTAAGACTGTCTATGACTATTATGAGCATGATCATGAGTCTACATGTACGTTGAGAATTGCAACATCACACAACGTAGGCCTACTGTATAACTCCAAATGCCCTTTTCGAAGTCAGCTGTGAACAAAAAACAACACTCGCACACAGCACTTCAGTGCATACACATTTGACACGGCCAACAAAGTCAAAACATTGCCATTTAATCTACCGATTACTAGCGATAAATAATATATAAACGTATAGTTTTATCAATTTTAAAACCTTACCTGCTATGGCTGCAGATATATTTAAAACTTTCAGACCAAAGTGAAGAAGAATGACAAAAATCAACATAGTAATGTCTCCAATGTTAAATCTGTGGACATCAATTCAATATTGCTCACCTAAGAGTAAGAGCGTTGATTAGTGAAGAGTCCCTATCCGGTCGATACTACAATGCGGAGCATGTACTCTCTCGTACATTCAAGCCCACACTATACGCGAAACCAACTTCACGATCACACAGCGATACGCGAACCCTGCCTGATGAGAGTACTACGAAAGTAAGTTCGAGTAAAGTGTCTTGGCAATGGAAGCACTTTCGCAATTTCTTGTTCTAACCAGGAATTGGAATTATATAAAATAAATCATAAGTAAAGTTTCCTTGCAGGCTTGCAACATAACAGAAAATTATGCTGACGCCATTCATCACCTTGTTTTGAATATTATAGAATTAGTTGTTTTATTGATGCAGTATATTCGTTTAATGAAAATCATGCAGACAATAGATTTATTCATGAATTATAGTTGCACGAAAAGGTATATTTACTGGTCAGCAGATACACATCTGTATATAGCAACAACTTGTTGATGATAAGTAAATCTCTGGTTGGTCATTCACACCCCGGATTCACACCCAGCCAGCCCACAGGTATGATAGTAACAATGAAACCATTGGATAAGACTGATCGAGGCATGTACCGGTATGCAGATTAAATTCCAAGTATACTATTCCGGGGTACTATTAATTCTGAGAAGTGTACACCAATCCTGCTTGCATCATGATCAGCCTAAAGCCGGAAGAGGAAAGTTTCACTTTCAATTAAAGTTTCAATTTCAGTAAGTTGTTCAAACCGTTTAATTGAATCGAAAAGTTACTGAAAGTTGTGGAAACCAGGAATATGTATTTAGTATTAGTCTTCACACTTTGAAGTTTGTAACATATTTAATTTAAGCTCAAAAGGGATAAGGCTGTTGCAAAAGAAGTATCTCTGTGTATCGAGCAGTCAGTGCACTCTGTGCATTGCACAGATTTGTTATGTATAATTATTATAAATACTCTAATGAAAAGGTCACACAATCGCAGTGAAATTCAGGAAAGACTATAGTCAATCGAAATCGTATATGAAAGAAAACAATATACTCTGCAAGCAATCAAGCAAAAGCATTCGACTGTAACGTCTTTATTGAAAGTCACCGATGATTGGTTGAAAGGATTGGATGGAAGCCTTCTGCTATGTTTATCGATCTGAAAAAGGCGTTTGATACTGACGTTCGAATACTTTTATATAAAAAAATCTTTGCAGCATTGGTGTTTCGAAGGACACTGTACCTTGGTTCGAAAGCTACTTGTATAACCGAAAGATGTGTACCTGTTTTGATTCTGCTATATCAAATATCTTAAATGTAGATTATGGAATTCCTCAGGTGTCCATACTTGGCCCCATTTTATTTACTATTTATATAAATGATCTTGTGAAACAAGTAAAGAATTGTAAATTGCCTCTATATCAGATGATACTGTGTTATATTTTTCTCATAAAAGTGTTGATATTATTGAAAAAATATAAATTTCTGTGTACGTAAGTATGCTGTAATGAACTCATTTGTATATTATTTGGAACTGGTGCAAAATCATCGAAATGTAATATCTTAAATATAAATACATCTGGTAAAGGTATTGTTCAAAGTAATACTGTGAAGTATCTTGGAATGTATCTTGTTACCAAGTAAAAATGGGATAGTCATATTAACGAAATGTGTAGACAAATAAGTAAAGTTGTAAGTTTTTTAGCTCGCCTTAGACATTTTTATATCGGAATCCAAGCTGAAGATGGTATATAATTCAATTATTCTTCCATTGTTTAATAACGCAGATATTGTTTATGATTGGGCAATCAAGAAACACACTGACCGCCTTCAAAGATTACAAAACAGGGCCGCTTTTCACACTTTGAAGTTTGTAACATAATAAGCCCAAAAGGGCTTTTTTTCTTACCTTATCTATGTTACTTTTGTATTTTTGCTTTTTCTTCTAATTTAATTCTACGGGTAATAGTCTTCTCTTAATCAGAACACTGTGCGCTTAGAAACATCAGTATTAAGCGCCTAATAAATGTTATGTATTGTGACGAATATATGAAAATGATCTTTCCCTTTCTACTCTTTCTCTTTCTACCCTTTCTCTTTCTACTCTTTCTCTTTCTACTCTTTCTCTTTATATATTCAATACCTGTAAATATTGTGAACATTATAAATATAAAATGTCTTTTATAGTCGTTACTTATTTTGTGACATGTTTTTAACGGATTGCTCTGAACGAGCGACTAGTCTACAAGTAGCATGTGCTCTTTGTTTATCAACAATGCTTAATTTATTCCACTATTGATCGATAACTTAATATTCATGTATTATTCATTAGTTTAAGGTGCGCAGCCAATTAAATGATTGTATATGCGCGTAGGGCTTTCTTTTTCCATGCGCGACCCAACCAGTATAAATAGTCCGCGCGTGGGTTACTGGGTTACCCAGGTACGTGACTGACAGCTTTTTACAGGCTAGTACGCGACTACAGTTTTATTTACAGGGTATTACGCGAAAGACTATGAATATTTGGAAAGGAAGGCTTCGGTCCTCTGTGACCTAATTAAGGCCGAAAGTCACCAGTGCCTCCGTAGTTTAATTCATATATTTAATATTGTATAACGCTTAACTTATAACAAATGTATTCGTCTAGAGGGCGTGATACTCCGTAGATCGTATAATGATGTTTTAATGAACTTGATATTGTATATAGATATTGTATAGAAAGTGTATAAAGGATCGAGAGAGTTGGAGAAACAACTTTGTCGTATATCTATAGTTTATTATCTACATTTATTTAATGCATATATAACAGTTTATTACAGGCATGAGTGTAACTCCCCCCCCCCCCCCCTTTCTCCTTCTTCGTCCTGTCTTGGAAGGGACAGTGTGTCCTTCAACCTGGAATGGACACAGAACGTTATATGTATAGACAATGCATGGGCTTGTCTTGGAGGACACAGTGTCCTTAGATTTGAATTGCACTCATTATTGTATATAGCATGACATGTATATTAATAGAATGACATTGAATAGTGGACAGTTGAATATGTACACTCGTAGTTAATTAATTAAATAGCTGCATTTACGAGCCTATCTAAATCAGGCAATTATTACTTTACTACATAATTAAGAGGTGCGAACTTAAGACAGTAAGGGACGAATTCAATGGAATGCCGGTTATCTTTGAATTTAGAAAGTCAAATCTTATACAAGTATATTCTGGAGTAAGTTATAACTAGGAGATAAATACTCGAGGCTAGTTTATAACGGTGATGATGGATTTATATAGGTACAATGTTTAACCGACAGAGTGTGTTAGCTTGTTACTTAATAAAGGAGTGGAAAGACTTTTGAAATCCTGGTCGGAAGGGTGTATTGGTTTAAATGTTTCATTCTTGTAGAATGGGGACGATAGGGACACATTGGCCAAAGGTGTCGGGCGCAGGTAGATAGTTGTTTCAAGGGGTAGGAGTACCGAGAATACTAGTAGTCGGTCAGAATAGAGTTACTTGTAATAGGAGTTAGAAAGAAATGCTAACTTTGGTTTGATAGCCATGGTGGTTTGTAAAGTTTGTTAGAAAAGCCTCTATCTAAGTTCAGTAAGTTTATACATGTACATTATTTAAATCGTATGCAGTCTATACTAGTCAATTAAGTGTTGACATCCTGTAAATTAAAGCTAAGAAATACTGTATAAATAATACAAGCAGTAAACATTTATTACAATAATTAATTAATGTATATCTAGTAGTAGCAATCAGTAAGTTAGTAAGTTCATGGAAGTATTTCTATACTTGTTGAGAGTTTTACAGTTCTTATATTGTTGAACAGTTGCCTAGAAATGGCTTAGTGGATAATAAATTCATTATTCGATTTTAGATCGATTTCAAGTTACAAATCTTGTTAGTCTGGTTTGCCTAGTAAATTAAGTATGCATTGTTGATGATACCGTACAAAATCTATAGTAGATTTAGAACTTACTGTAGGAATGATTACTAAACAGGAACACAAAACTTCGTCTGTATATTTCAGACAAACGGACTCAGGTCATCGTGCCTTATATATCGCTCGGAAGTGTGAAAGGGAATAAGATACTATTTTTGTTATTTAGTGAGTGACTGAGTGGAAGACTTGATACACAGAAACGAATGTATGGGACATGATTATGGTCTAAACTAAATGGTGTTGTGAGGCTTGTTAGAGAGACAAAAACATGATTAGTTCCTACTTAATGATACTTAATTACGGTATCAGGGGTGAGAATAACACTCACCTATAAAAGGATGGAAGATATTGTGAAGTGGTTTGAGACTCTAGAAGCTAACTTTGAGTGGAAATGGCCAAATCAATACCGGATTTTCCCAGAGTGAGACAGTGCGTCTTGCACGTGACGAGAGACAGATTGGGAAAGGACGAGACAGTGCGTCCCAAAAGGAAGCAATTGCCATACGTCACAATGACTTTAAGCGTATACTAGTAGAAGGACGCATGGTCCGGTTTCTTAGGAATCTGTGTATGTAAGTGAGAGTGTATCAGATTACAGAGTAAATGTAAACACACAAACCGTGTTGTTTTGGAGATCCTAGCGCTCCAGATTAAGACTAGGTGGTGGCAGCAACCGTCATGGTAATTCATGGTATAAGGGACTGACATAAAAGTGGTTATGAATGTAGTCTTCTTTCCAGACCTGTTTTACTTGTATTCCCTATATTGATAGAATTCGCTATAATGGTAGTAGGAGAAAGTTTATGTAGCGATGGGGATGATTTTGGGACACTGGTGGAAGCATATTAACCACCCCCCTTGATTCCCCGATTCTATCAAACCGTCACAATGGTGGGATTTTCTTTCTAACCCCCCCCCCCCCCCCCCTCTTCTTCCCTGATTTCACGCCAGAACCGCCACAATGGTGGCAGCGGTGGGATTTCTATCAAATCAACCCCCCCCCCCCCTCTTCTTCCCTGATTTCACACGCCAGAAACCGTCACAATGGTGGCAGCGGTGGGATGAAGTAGCATCTTTAATTGCGATTAACTGCAATTCTAAGGATGAGTTGTGTTCTTGTTTT